AGCAATGACATTTTGTTTATATACATTTACAGGGAAGAAATAGTTTCACTTACATTATGAAAGTTTTTTGATGAAGCTGTGAAAGATTAATTTTCTTAAATCTTACCCTTGAGTACATGATTTTCTTAATATTCTGTGTGATAAAACAGGTAGCATAAAACATTTCTGCAGCATGGTACAACCATACAATGGAATAGCCAACACCTACTTAAAAGGATAACTACGTTCATTTACATACATGAATCTTCATGAAATAATTGAGGAGGAAAAGCTGAAATACAATATTTGATAGGAAAACAGCCTGATTTGGGTCAGGACTCTGTTACAGCTTTAGTTATATTTAGATCACTATTGGTATCAAATGTTTTGAGTGCAGAATCAGGACTTGACCTTCATTAGGGCTTGGGATCTGAGCACCTGTGAGACTCAGGTAATCTCTTCATGTGTTTACAGCTCAGCCAACAGTTAGTAAAACAGGAAAAGATCTATCTCTGTTTTGCAGCCCAGCTGCTGGGATTTTGAGCAGCTGGGACATTTTCTTTTCTTCTGTTTAATGATCTTAGTATTCTTGTTTCTTTATTGACATTCATTTTTTTAAAATACATTTTCCTGATTTCTTTAGTTCTTTGTCTTTGGTTTCCTTTAGTCCTTTTATAATACTTAAGACACTTGATTTAACATGTTTGACTACTCATTTCAATTCAGAGCTTCTTCTGAAATGATTTTTGTCATGCTTTTTTTTTTTTCTTGTGAATGGCCATGCTTTCTTGTTTGTGTGCTTTGTCAATTTTTTTTTTGAGACTTGAACATTGTGTATTAACTCTGGAAACCAGATTCTCCCACTACACTGATGTTTCATGGCTGCCATCCATTTGTGACTTTCCTAAACTATTTTTGTAAATGTGTATTCCTGGTTGTATGTGGTCACCAGTATTTTTATTCAGTTATCTTTGTAGTCAACTAGTGACCTGACAAAGATGTTTTAAAATATCTGGCTCAAACAACAAAAAACTGTTGTCCTCTCTTTATTTTCTAATAATTGCTGGTGCAGGAATCTCTGCAGTCTGAAAGGGCCTAAAGGAAGGCCGGTGTCTCCATTTATGACAGTCTCATAAGAGATTTACCAGACTGATTAAAATGTGCAACGCTCATCTCAAATTTTTTGATGTGAAGGTTCCTCACTGTCTGCCCTGGCACCAAGCAGCTGCTTTAAGAATGTGTATTGCTATCTCCATTGTTGGGACAGGACTGAGGAATGGGCTGTGTTAACTAATTTACATGTGTGGTTTTCCTATTTAGATGAACAGCCTTTGGCAAGCACTCTCCTGGTTGTTATTAAGTATCTATTCAGGTGGCAGAGTCCACTACAGTTGGTTCTGGTTGCTTTTGGTGAGGTGACTAACCCTAATAGTTTTCTGTTATGACATTTTGTGACATTTTGCATCTTATGTGTCACAGTAGTCTTATATTAACTTTCTAATGGATAGAGGAAAATCCTTTCTGGTTTGTGTGTTTGTCACTTCTATTAAAGGAAAAAAACAGCCTCAGATTTCAACCAAAGGATTGAGATATTTAAGTGTTTGGTGGGAAAACCTGTTAATCATGATTGAAATTTTAATTCATCAGTGTTTTGTATAATATCTTTGTAGTTTATGCAAATAAAAAAATTTTGTCTCTAGTGTAAAAACTTAATTTTTAAATGTTATTTATAATTAAGTATGGTTAGTTTAAGTGTCCTAAAGAGCATTAGATGTGTACATGATTTAACTTTTGTGGGAAAAATAATAGAAAATTTGCTTACATGTCAGTTAATGAGTTCACCTCGTTTAGAACAGGTTTAGTTTAAAGCCATAGTCACTGCAGAAAATATTAGAAAGAAATAACTAAAGCCATATTTGTGATGTAATATTACTCTTACTTGATATTTTGAAAAGATTGACAACAGCAGGGTGGAAAAGTACTAATCTGCCACTTCAGTATTGGATTTTAATCCAGACTTTAAAATGCTCAATTTGTTGTACATGTAAATTATTTCTTTCCTAAATAGAAGTAATTTAAGCATTTTAAAGAGAATCTTTAGTTTATGCAATATTAACAAGAAATTGTTTTATGACTTTCAAAAACATAAGAAAATAATTGCCACTCTATCGCTTCTCGGCCTTTTGGCTAAGATCAAGTGTAATTGCCACTCTAGTAAGTCCTTTAATATTAGAGAAGTTTGAATTATAAGGTAAATTCATGTTCACATACTTTCTTATTGGAAGTGTCAAAAGGGCCACAATATGATACCATTTATACAGGAAGGGGAGAGTCACTGTGAGAGAGACATCAATTGGTTGTCAGCATAAGCCCCAACCCCAACTAGGCTGGGATGGAGCCTGCAACTGAAATATGTGCCCTTGCCCAGAATCAAACCTAAAACCCTTTAATCTGTGGGCCAGTGCTCCAACCACTGAGCATGTTCAGGTTTCCTAAGACCCACACCCATGCTTGATGGACACAGAAAAACAGAGAAGAGCTGTTGAACTCACAATTATTGTGTATTATAGCAGAAAAGTACAGATTAAAATCATTAAGTGAGATAGGGCATGTAGGGTGGAGTCCAAGAAAAACCATATGGGAGTTTTCAGTTATCCTTACCTCGTGAGCTGTTTCATAGATAGTGCTTCATTCCTCCAGCCACCTTGTGTGATAACCTTATATATGCAGTGTTGTCAGTCAGGGAAGCTTACCTGAGTCTTGATGATCAGGGTTTTTATTTGGGGTTAGTTTTGTAGCCTTGGACGTACCCACATTATTGTCTTTGGTTGTTCATTTGCAGCTTCTCTCATCCTCCTTCCATCCAAAGGTCAAACTGATAAAGTGTGGCCCAAACCTGAGGCACACAAAAACAGACGTTTTACCATATTTTACATTATTGACATAAATTATCTGGTATGGCCCAAGATCTCAGGTATACAAAGAGACTTGCGTATCAGGCAGAATATTCCAAGGCAGTGGTCTGCAAACTGCACCTCCCGAGCCACATTCGGCTTTCGAGCTACGGTTTGCCGCTCTGTTGACTATGAGTTTGCCGACCACTGGGATAGGGGCTTAATCACAAGGAACAACAACAGCCTGTAATTGTTGGAATCGAGAGTCTAGGTCAGTGGTCGGGAAACTCATTAGTCAACAGAGCGGCAAACCGTGGCTCACAAGCCTCATGTGGCTGGGGAGCTGCAGTTTGCCGACCACTGTTACAAGGGCTCAGAGATTATCTCCCAGAAACCTGTCAGAGGTTAATCTTTTCTTTGGGATGTGCAGGGTTGAGCCCCCAAGCTTGAAGAATTACCCCTTTCCTGCACAAATTCTGATGACTTACAAAGGAAGGTGACTCTAGTATAAATTTTTATAAGAACAAAAGGGTAGTAGATGAAACTGGCAGTAGCTCATTTCACCTTAAATACCTAGTATGTTTTAAACAAATGGTAAGGATTATAAAGACTATGTTCTGCAGTTACAGTTTCTTAAAATTCACGGACTGCCTCCAATAAATTCATCTTGCTTGGTGAAATACACATTATCTCATCTAAACCTCCATTTCTGCCTTGATGGAGCAACTTGTGTCAGACTGAGGCTTCTGCTGAGAATAGTTGAAAAACTAGTGAGAAAATGAGTCTGAAGTCATTGAAGAGCCTCTGATTCAATCAAGAGTTGAAGAGACAAGATTCAGGAGAGAAGGGAAATAGACATACTCTGTGTTGGGTTCCCTTTTGTATGACTCAAGAGGTGCAGACAAATGACTTGAAAGAAATTATCAATAAATTAATTCCAGATGGCATTAGAAAAGGCATAGAAAAAGCTTGTCAATCTATCCACCCCATGCTGTCTTTGTTAGAAAAGTCAAAAGCAGAAGCCAAAAAGCTTGAACTGGAAAAATTCATGGAGCTTCATGGTGAAGGTAGCAGTTCTGGAAAAGTTACCAGTACTGAGGATAAGACAGGTGATAAAGTTGAATGAGTTGATGGATATGAGTCTCCAGTCCAATACTCTGCTTAAATTCAGTGTTTTACTGATGACAAATAAAAAATCCTATTTGTGGGTGAAAAGAAAAGAAGAAGAAAGCTGTCAATTATATTTTGACATCCCATTAATTGTTAGATACATCCTGATTTCAAAGATGTTAAAATGTGGAGGAAAACAGTAAATGTTAATTCCAGTTGTAAATCTCAGTTCTATCATTAATTATTTTACTTAAGTCAGGGAACTTTTTTGAGCCTATGTGTTTATTTGTGAAAAATGAAATGGTATGGTCTGCTCTTTAGAGTTAGGAAGATTACACAAGTTAAGAAATAAAGTGTGGAGTAGGCATTTGATATCTTTTGGCATTATTATGATAACAGAGACTCCTGATAACCAATCAAAGCAAAAAAACAAAACAAAACAAAACAAAAAAACAAATCCCCAATATCTTGGCTAAATGAAAATTCCTGTTTTCACAAAGTGTCAAACATCATTATTATTCTCTCCTATACCCCCTTTACCTCCTCCTATCTAAAAGTATCATTGACTGATTCTAATATGATGGTTGTTATTTATAACGGTAGAACCTGTGCATCAAAATAGTGTTGATATTTTTACTATATTGGTTTTTTAAAAGCATGTTTTAGGAAAATTTTCTATCCTAAAAATAATTGTGATACTAGAATCTCAAATTCTAGTTTGAACCGCTTCCTTAACGCAGTAGGCAGCGCATCAGTCTCAAATTCTAGTTTGTAGAATTCCTGCTCTTCTAAAGATTCTATATAAATATAACATTAATTGGAGTGAGGGGATTTTTTTTTTAAGGAAGTGGTTGAATTTTATGATACTTGGCAGAATTTGAAATGTTTCATTATTTGTTTTGAAAATTATTAATAAATGTAAGACAACATTTTTCTTGAGCTGTAAAGTATTCATGGCTTTAATTTTGTGTTCATTCTGTTCTTTCAGGATATTTCAAGTCACATTCAATCGATAGGATGAAAAAATTTAAGAGAAGGTTATCCCTCACACTTCGAGGAAGCCAGACTATTGATGAATCATTGTCTGAATTGGCTGAACAAATGACTATTGAAGAAAATAGCAGCAAGGATAATGGTAAATATTTGGCGGGGAGGGAAGAATGTTTTACACTTTTGATTTATAAATAGAATGTAATTTCCTTTCCTGATAGCTTCCTTTTGTTTATTTTTCCCTATGGGTCCCTAATTCTTAGGAAACAAGACTATACAACTTGCTTGCTTATTGGAATGTTCCTGTCTTACTCCAAGTACTACTGTACCTGGTCTCTAACCCTGATGAATTCTGTCCCGTTTATCTTTCCATTTTTATTTGTTCTTAAGTAAGAATACCTTGTATAATATAATCCTAGTTAAGTAACTATTTTTAAATTAAAGTTTAAGTATCTTTGTTTTCTTGTAACCTGTTAAAACAGCTTAAAAGTACATAGTAAGTATGTGAAATTTCTGTTTGAGGCTTCATTATAGTTTATAACTTTATATATACATGTTGACTATTAGAACATAAAGTTCAGCCCTAACCGGTTTGGCTCAGTGGATAGAACGTCAGCCTACATACTGAAAGGTCCTGCATTTGATTCTGGTCAAGGGCATATGCCCAGATTGAGGGCTCAATCCCTAGTAGGGGTGTGCAGGAGGCAGCCGATCAGTGATTTTCTCTCATCATTGATGTGTATATATTTCTCTCCCTCTCCTTTCCTCTCTGAAATCAACAACAACAACAAATAGGAAAAAGACAAAGTTCATTACATAAGTGAATCTTACTGTTTTCTTATTTTATACTAGAGGCTCATTGCATGAATTTGTGTGCTGTGGGATCCAGCCGGCCCAGTCCCAGTGGTGGGGGGAATCAGGGCTTGGCTGGTGGGAAGGAGATGGAAGGAGGTTGGTTGGTTGGTCTGTCCCGATCAGGACCTGATCAGGGCGGAACCAGTGGTCCCTGACCCTGAATGGGGTTGGGGGCTGACCTGGGATGGGGCCAGGAGGGGGTGTTTGGCTGGCGGCCCACTCTTGATTGTGGTTGGAGAGTTTGATTAGGGGCAGGCTGGCAGAGGGGAGAGGACGCAAGGTTGGCCAGCCAGCCCCACCTTCTGCTCGTGCTGGTTTGCGCCTGCACATGCTGCCCACTGGCCCAGAGTGCACTGCCCAAGGAGACAAAGTTAGATGTCACGCCCCACCCACTGACCGCTCCGCATGCTGCCCACCAGCCCAGAGCAGGGCACCTGGCTTCGTCATCTTAGGCAGCATGCTCTGAGCGGTTGGGCAGGCGTCCCACCCTGTCCACTGGCCGCTCCACGTGCTTCCACACCTGCACATGGGCCACAGGCCCTCCACAGGTAGGGCAGGTGAAACACTTGCGTCCTCGACATGGCGACAACGCAAGCATCCCGGCCTGGCTGCCGACATCTTTTGTCACCGAGTGACCCTCAGTTTGCATATTCCCTTCTTATGGGCTGTGGGCACCACCATCTTTATTTTGGAGTTATGGTAAATTTGTATATTCCCTCTTTATTAGATAGGATTAGCAAACCAGGAAATTAGCATTGGAATAAAGTATGAGTATAGTTCTATGTCATTTTATCACATGGGTAGTTTTATATAGCTACCATTGTAATCAGGGTAAAGAAGCTATTCTGTTGCCAGAGGTTTGTTGGCAGAATATTTATACTACTATATTTTATTACTACCTTTTTACCTCCCATTAGCCCTCATTCCTCAGAGTGATGTTTTAAAAATACGAATCAGATATATTACTACTTGCTTCAGAGTTACCATAACTGCTTTTAATCCCAGAATAACCCATCACTCACCCATCTTCCCATGACTTGCTGTTTCTTGCATTTATATCTGTTGCATGTTCTTATTTTAATATTTTGCATATTGCTTATCAGTATCTAATATTTTCCTTATTCATTAGTTTCTTACCTGTCTTTACCTCCATTAAATTTTATAGTTTCAAAGAGTATCATCTTGTTTTGTTTACTTCTTGATGTGCAGAGCTTGTAATATTGCTTGTCACATGGTAGGTACACAATAAATAGCCATTGGATAATGGAATGCATTTATGATCTCCATTTTTTTTTTTAGCTATATTCACTAGGTCTATAACGCATGTTCCCCAGGACAGCTTTATAGAGCATCTGAAACAAATGTTGTTTGTTGGCAGAATATTTATACTACTATATTTTATTACTCTACATCTGAAATATTAAAACCCAGAAAGAGTTAAGTTTTCTTAGGTGTTCTAGCCTGTATCCACAGTTTTTGCAACTAATTTATGCATTTATATTAAATATGCCTTCTCATTCATTATTAAATCATTGATTCCCTTACTAAGCTTATGTCAAGATCCCCAAGTTCTTTTAAAAAAATGTTTTTATTAATTTTAGAGGAAGGGAGGAGAGGGATAGAGAAATAAAAACATTGATGAGAGAGCTGCCTCCTGCACACCCCCTACCAGTTATTTATTGGTTCATGGGTCAATACTCAACAGCTGAGCCACACCAGCTGGATCCTCAAATTCTTCATCAGCCCAGCTACTGCCAAGGAATGTAGAGTCTATGGGACACTTTGGACAGATTTTCTCTATAACTAGTTGGGTACTTTCTTTGCCTCCAGTCTGGTATTCTACCCAGATTAGATGATTTGGGCCTTGTGTGAGTCTCAAGGACCCTTCTGCCTCATCCTCCCTCTCTACTTTTAGGTAGCCATTATCAGTAGAGGGGCAGACCAGGTGGCGTTATCAGTTCATTTTTCCTATGCCTATACCTTGGTTTGTTCTATGGATCCCAGGCCCCCCTCCTGCCAACTTGTTCTTGGTGTCTGATATCCTTTACATGTAGGGAAATCCCTTCAAACCCCTTATTCCAGATTATCAGCTACAAAAGAAGAGCTGGCTTCATTTTAGAAGAAGATATTCAGAGAAGCCCATTTCCTTTTTAAATTCCTTGACTGTCAGTAAAAACACAATTCTAATATGAAAGACTAATGGTGTGTTGCAGAAGACTTCATCATGTCCATAACCTATATCAGAACTCATTTTGGGGGATGGGAAGGAATCATGAGATTCCCTGTAAACATTACAAAACAGGATTTCCCATATTTATAACTAAATAACTTATAAGCACTTAAGAATGTTTCTGCTTGTTTATATGTCTTGTGATTTTTAAAAACTATATTAAAAAATCCCAAATTTAGGGTAATAAATTTCCGAACCTCTGCATTGAGCTGTACTTAACTATTTCTGTTTTATTAACTGACATACTTTTATGAATATTTAGCATATAGGGATATAAGTTCCTTCTTGCCAGGGCCATGTTTTTTCGTCTTCTACAGCATGCAGTAGGCAAACAGTAAATATAGGGGATAGTGTGGAAATAGTTTTGAGATATATTCAAATAAGCAAATGGATCAAAAATCTATAGGTTATAGTAGTGTGGTGATTGCTAACTAATTTCAACTATATAAGAAATAGATCAATACTAAGCCAATTTCAAATCAGTTTTTCTGTATTTTTTCATATAAATTATTTTAATTCTAATACTTTGTATTGATAGCCTAAGTTAATGTAATGATCTCTATTATAACTTTCGTTTTCTATTTTGCTTTCTGATTTCTTTTCATGTGATCCTGGACCTTGGGCTGTTAATGGGATACTTTTTGGATGCTGTGAACCACAGAGCCTATTGTGAAGAATGGCAGGCCTCCAACCTCTCACAGCATGCATTCCTTCCTACACCAGTACACAGGGTCCTTCAAGAAGCCCCCATTGCGGAGACCACATAGTGTTATTGGAGGAAGCCTTGGCTCCTTCATGGCAATGCCCAGAAATGGAAGCAGATTAGGTAATTGAATTATTTGTTTAGTTTTTTGTTTTTTGGTTTTTTTGTGTGTGTTTTTTTAACTTTCTGACTGTAGCCGAGACCGGTTTGGCTCAATGGATAGAGCGTCGGCTTTGGGACTGAAGGGTCCCGGGTTCGATTCCGGTCAAGGGCATGTACCTCGGTTGCGGGCATATCCCCAGTAGGGGGTGTGCAGGAGGCAGCTGATCGATGACTCTCTCTCATCGATGTTTCTAACTCTCTATCTCTCTCCCTTCCTCTCTGTACAAAACCAATAAAAATATATTAAAAAAAAAAAAATAAATAACTTTCTGACTGTAGGTCGTGTACATAGCTGGTAGGTTTTTAGTATAGGGAAATCAGCCAGCCTTTATTATCTGATGTGTCTTGCATTATCTGATTTGTATAATAAGATAAAAATCAAGTTGAGAATAAGAGAGAGCAGAAAGATGGAAGGTTCTAGAGAGGCAGTGACATTTGAAAATCTGTCCACCGTGAAGAAAACAGCACCCTTGAGAGGTGTATGCAAAATTTAAAGATACGGCAGCTTGAGGTAATGCCTAATTTAGGGTTATACCTGGTAACTCCAGATTATCACCATATGATAACCCAATATAATAATTAGTGTATATGATTAGCACCTCACTTCTTATTCTTATGTTATTATCATTTTAAATATCTAGGAAAAATGTATACTTGCAAGGATCTGTTATTTCTCTGGTCTTTGTTTGATGATGGCTTATTATGTTTTTATTCTAAAATAACTAAGTAATTATTTTGTAGTCTTATGACAATTATATTTACCAGAGTTTCTGAGGGCACTTGTCTGCTGCTTATTCTTCCTTGGTAGATTATTTCTTCATGTACTTTGTAAATGTGAGTTTACCTATAGTGAGGTTTTTATCTATGGGAATTGAGTATGGCCTTTATCCCTAGAGGTATAATCCTATTATGTATTGGAGTCTATTCACACTAGTTCATGACAGATGACTGTTAAATTTTCAGAATTTTACAAGTTGATTGTTGAACATAGCCATTAGTAAAATTTAAGTTATACAAACTTGCAATTAGGTAAGCTAAGTTGAAAACAATGGGAATGAATACTTAAATGATTATTTCCTAATTACTTGATTATACTTTACTATTACCAGTGTTTTGGGGGTTATTTATTTCTATTGTATCTGTATAGTCAAAATATTATGTAAGGTTTTACATATGTCTTCTCAAATACATGTTAAATAATGTCATGTTGATAGCTTGACATTGGCATGGAGGGAGTACTTACCCCACAGAAATAGGAAAACACTTTAGATCAGGAATTGGTTTATTGTTTTGTTAATTGTCTAGACCAAGAATTGGCAAACTTTTTCTGGCAAGGCCCAAATAGTACATTTTTCAGGTACATAATGTATAGTCTCTGTTGCATATTCTTCTTCTTTTTAAAATAGCACTCTAAAGATGCAAAAATGATTTTTAATTTTTAGTTCAAGGGCCATACAAAACAATCATGTTTGCGACCCTTGGTCTAAACAAAGTGATGTAGAGACCTAGACAGGTAGTTAGTTCAGTTAGAGTGTTGTCCTGATACATCAAGGTTGTGGGCGTATATAAGAATCAACCAATGAGTGCATAAAGAGGAGATCAATAGGTTGATGTTTTCTTTCTCCTTCCTTCCCTCTCTTCCTCTTTCTCCCCTTCTTTTTTCTTTCCCCCTCTTTCCCTTTCTCTCCACCCCTTCTTTCCACCCTTTCTTCTCTCTCTTCCTCTGTCCCTTTCCCTTCTTTCCCCTTTAAATTAATAAACATTTTTAAAAAAAGGAAAGTGGTGTTGACAATGTTAGTAATGCAGATTACATTTAAAAAATGCCTTCTGTCTGTAGCTTTTACATTGTGAATTGCACAAAGCTTGAGCAATTTGAGAAATAATATTCGTCTAATACTTAAAAACTATTACCTGATTCAGCAAAGAAGTTGCTCATACCAATGACAAATGAGTGGAATTTTTATATAAGCCTGCATTGTTTTGGAAATGAAAATATCAACCAGTATTCATGTTGGGACTGTAATTGTTTGTTAATGACATGAGTTTTTTTGTTGAGTCAGGGAATACTCAAATATTTATTGATAGTTTGAAATTAATATGCCCCTTTGTAGTCTTTGTGCAGTAGAACAGATTTGTTTTTTAAGACTGCCCTTTACTGGAGATGCAGCACTTTGTGAGAATTGAGCCTTTCTGCAGGAAGCTTTCATTTGCAGCTTGGATACCATGGCTTCATCTTTTATTTCAGTGTGTAACCCCAAGCACCTTCTTGAACAAGATCAGCAGCCCCTCTTAAGAAAGTGACAAGTCAATTTGTGCATAGCAACTTTGGGTTTTCAGTTCTCTGTTTTTGCTTCCTGGATAGTATGCATACATTCTTGCAAACTAAGCTATACATTTTAAAGTATTATTCTTGCCTAAACCGGTTTGGCTCAGTGGTGGAGCGTCGGTCTGCAGACTGAAGGGTCCTGGTTTCGATTTTAGTCAGGGGCATGTACGTTACGTTGGTTGCGGGCACATCCCCGGTGGGGGGTGTGCAGGAGGCAGCTGGTCGATGTTTCTCTCTCATCGACGTTTCTAGCTCTCTATCTCTCTCCCTTCCTCTCTGTAAAAAAGCAATAAAATATATTTTAAAATTAAAATTAAAAAAATAAAGTATTATTCTTATTAAAAATTTTCTTGAGATTTTTCATATTTCAAAGACTAGTTGCCTGAGATGTTAGATATATTATAAGATCAAGAATCAGTCTCAAGTACATTGACTTTTGCTGCCAAGGTAATTTTTGTTCAGGTCTCACTATAAAATTTTTCCAGAGATCTCTGTACTTGAAGTGTATCCTTAAATGTCGATCTATTTAAAAAACCATTGCCATTTGCAATTGTTTTTTTTAGTGTGAATACATTTTCTCAAGAATGTAATGCAAAATATAAAATGTATGAATTATAAGACTGAGTGAGATCCCTGCATTTAATTTTTGTTAAGCAGTTCTCATATTTTTATGAGCAAATATTGTTTATAAAAGTTCAAATTTATTATAAAATACTAATTTTTGTTTGGCAAAAAACATTTCATTTGTAAAAAACAAAGTCCCAGCTATCTAGTCTATTTCTTGATTTTTAGTTATTATTTAATTCATTGGAATTTGTTGAGCACCTTCTAAGTACCCGGCACTTCATTAAATTCCTGGAATACAAAAGTGAATAAGCCAAATCCTGACCTCAAGGATCTTATCCACAATTTGGTGTAAAATTACATGAACCATAAAATGCTGTTCAGTGCAGTAGGTACATTGTGAGCATAGCAGTCATCTGTCTTTTAGAGTAGAAAAAAACTTCACTGAGTGATGACACATGAGCATAGTTTTGAAGAGTAACTCTAAAGAACTAAGTCATTTGGCTGTGGTGCCAATGGCCCATTGTTTTAATGGAAAGAATACTAAACTAAATAATAGCAGAAGACCATGTTTCTGTTCTTGCCTATAAGTTGTGTCATTTAATCTTTCAAGGTCTCAGTTCCCAGGTTTGAAAAGTGAGAAAACTCACTTCAATAATTCTCATTGTTATTTCCAGTCTCTAATTTTATTATTCAACCTTGGTAATATCTTGAATGTTAATTTTTCCCTAATTTTTCATAATCTGAGAGTATAAAAGGATTGCTTAGTAGTATTTTAAGACATTTATGTTTCAATCTATTGACTGCACACCACAGCACCCAGAATGTACACGACTTTTTATGCTATGATTCTTTATGCATTGGCTATCTGCCTCTTGCTATAATAGTAGTAAATTATGTAATAATACCTCTCGCAAAGTAAATGTTTCATGTTCTAATACAGATATTGTTCATGAAAATCTAAAAATGGGATCAGATGGTGAGAGTGACCAAGCTTCTGGGACCTCATCTGATGAAGTCCAGTCACCTACAGGTGTTTGTCTTAGAAATCGTATACATAGACGGATCTCAATGGAGGTAACATTAATAACTATAAGTGTGTGTGTGTGTGTGTGTGTGTGTGTGTGTGTGTGTGTGTGTGTAAATATACATGTGTATATAAAACAGTTTAAATGCCTATTTGAAAATTTTCATGAAGGCAAATGAAACTTGAAAAAAAAATTGTTCCTCTGCATTAGTGAAGAGTAGTTTTGTATTTCTTTTTTTCTAATTATCTACTATCCCAAAGCAAGCATTCATTAATTATATTTAACACTTTTCAAAACACTGTGTAGGTTCTCTGTGAGGGAAATGTGAATTTTTGGAAGTTCTGGAAATCAGAATGATACATGAGTAAAATACTCTATTTGGAAAATATTATTATAATTATGTTTTGAGATTCATCTGTATACTTTATATTTTTATAAATATTTCAAATTTCAAAAGGTATACATACATAAATTAAGCATCAATTCTTTCTTCTTGCCTTACATTATAAATGTGAGTATTGTTTCCTCTATGGTTCATTATACTTACTAATCTCTGTAGCACATATGAGTTATTTCTCCACATGGAAGAATGAAGAACTCATTTCCTTTTCTTTGTGAATATATGTATAAGCTTGAGGACAGAAGTTGATTATGAATGTTACCATTTCAGAATACTGTAGATTAAATAGTTTTCTCTAAAAAAAACTAGGCATGTTTTAAAATGAGTATTGTTAACTTTTTTCAGTGCTGTTGAGTGGAGATAATGATGATTAGGGTATCTTTTGATTGCATTTTCATTGATAAAGATTGCTTCTGATCTTTTGTTAAGGAAAAACGGTATCAGTTTCCTAAATGATGAATTAACATTTTTATCTCTTGAGGTTAACTTGATAACTGTTCATATCATTGTATAATTTATGTCACAATGATAATAAAAATAGTATTCCTGATTGTACATACCCTATAGATATATGATTTTCTTTGTTCTATATTTTAAAGTTTTATTTATTAGATTTTCTCATTCTTCCAGTGAGCTATCTATACTTTTTTCTTAAAGGTGACAGTGTTGATTATGTTGTTTTTATTGTGTATTTTATATCTGGAAAGACTTCTTTTCTCAGTATTTCCCCACCTCACATACATATTCTCTGATTTATTTTAGAATGTTTTTCCATATTTCTTTTTATTCTTCTAGATAAATTTTAAATATTTTGTACCAAGAATAATCTTACTATGATTTGTTCAGTGTGATGTAAAATATGAAACTAATATGGAGAGCCATTATCTTCATTATTTAATCTTATCACTTGAAAACATGGTATATTTCTAAACTTAAGTCACATATCTTAAATATTTATAAAGTCTCTATACATTTAAATTTTGTTTCATGGTTTTGTTACTATTATGAATAATAGGATTTATTTTTGTAGGATTTATGTTAGTTGGTGTGATAAGCAGGATTTCCTTTTGCGTTTTTTCCAGTTCATATTCTATATTTAAACAAAATAGAAATGCCATTTGCTTATTTCTGTCCATTGATAAGCAATAATAAAAATTTTCAGTTGTATCTGTGTTGTATATGAAGTCATACACTATCTACTTGGTTAGTTCATTTAAACCAATCACATTTTGTGGTACTCTTTACCTATTCCTACTATATGATATAAGAATGTCAAAGTAAATTCCATTTTGAAAAGAGTTCAGAAATAGCTGGGTTACAGAGTACCATTTCTATAAAACTGTATTGTTTACATTTGCTTAGAATAATATGCTTGCGTTCAGTATATTATATGTAATCAATACAGATAGATAACTTTGTAACTATACTTCACAGTTATATATCACTAAGAAATAATATATTATAGCCCATGAATTCAAAAGCCAAATGCCCTTATATTTTCTGTTTGTACTTACTATTATACAAAAACTTTTTCTTTTCTTTTTTTTTTTTTTTTTTTTTTTTAGGATTTAAATAAACGGTTATCACTGCCTGCAGATATCAGAATACCTGATGGATATCTTGAGAAGTTTCAGATAAACAGTCCACCATTTGACCAACCAATGAGCCGAAGATCTCGTAGAGCTTCCTTAGTAAGTTTGTCTCCTATAACCTACACCATTAGATGTGCTTTGTTTGATTTTTTGGGGGTGTAAACATTTTGTACTAATTCTTATATTTAGTTTTTGAATAGCTAAATTTTATTACATTTCCTTCTGGATTTTATTGTTTTCCATTCTTAAGGGTTTAAATATGCATATTAGAATAGGATTTAAGCTCTGTTCTATTTTATTTTTGGTAAATTTTATTGACATCTGCCAGATATACAGAATATGTATTAGAAACATAAATATATATTGACTAGAGGCCCGGTGCACGAATTCATGCACAGGTGGGGTCCCTCCCAGCCAATTGGGGCCCATCGAGACTAGCTGGCCTGGGTGAGGGACAACTGGAGGTTGGCTGGCAGCTAGGGGTGTGGGGGGAGGAGCACACTGACCACCAGGGGGCAGCTCTTGTGTTGAGCGTTGCCTCCTCGTGTTCAGTGCATATCATAGGTACTGGTCCGTTGTCTGATTGGTCGTAATAGTCGCTTAGGCTTTTATATATATGGGTATGTATTAGATATACAGAAAAGTGCATAAACCATAATTGTATAGCTCAATGCATTTTTGCTGAGTTAACATACCTATATAACCAGTACCCAGATTGATAAAATTTCAGAAATCCAGAAACCACCTCCTGCCACCTGTGTTTACTTTTGAGATCCACTTCCTCAACTTTAGCCATTATCCCTCCCTTGTAATGCTGAAGATTAACTTTGCCCTTATGTTTTCTACTGTTTTGATTATATTGTATTTATAGTATGTTTTAATATCTGGAAATCCTCATTTGTATGCCTGTTCTTATTTTTAAAATGCTTTTGATATTCTTTTTCAGATTATTCTTATTTAGACTTGAACTTTAATTAAAAATATATGTTATTAAACCATATTTAATTCAGATATATAAACGTGTATTTATACAAGATTTTTACACATATTATACAATATATATTCTTTTTGTGGTTGACTTCTTTGGCTCAGTGTATGCTTATGTTTTATCTAGGTTGTTGCATATAATTATAGTTCATTTGTTCTTATTGTCATATGTTATTCTATTGTGTGAATATATTATACTTTATTCACTCTGTTGATGGGCACTTACATTTGGGTTGTTTTAGTTTTGGGCTTACCAAACAGAGCATCTGTCACCCTTTCTGTACTTGAGTTTTGGTTAACACATGTAAGCATTTCTTTGGGTGTATATCAAGGAGTGCAATTGTTGGATAACATTATGTGCATATGTTCACCTTGCCTAGATACTGTCAAAACAGTTTCCAATGTGTTCTTTGGCTATCAGTTTATACTTTCAGTACTTGATAGTTCTAGTTGCTCTCCTTGCCTATTTTTGATATGATTTGTTTTTAAACATTTTTTGACTTTCTGATGAGAGTTACCTTGTGGTTTTATTTTTCAATTTCCCATAAACTAAGCTGAACACTTTAAAAAATTTTTTATTTTAATTAGATTTCTGGGAGGGGGGTTAATTTTTCTTTTTCTTAGTTTCAGGTATACAGCTAGTTGAATGCTTTATCATGTTTTTTGATGTTTATTAAGCATTTTTGATATTCTCTTGTGAATTAACTGCTCAGGTCTATTGTCTACTTTCTATTGGGGGTTTTTTTTTTTGCCTTTTTCTTACTGATTTATGGGAAATTTTTATGCATTCTGTATAAAGGACCTTTGTTAGTTATATGACTTACGAATATCTTCTAGTATGTAGCAATTAACCCAATACTGTTTATTGAAATTTCAGGAAGTGTCATCTTTGACATAAATTCAGGTGATTGTATATATGAGGATTTCTTTTGGATGGCTGTAGTCCTATAGAAGAGTTACATATAAAGTGCTGTGAGAGTCCTAGCTGTTTTGGCTCAGTGGACAAAGTGCCAGCCTGCAGACTGAAGGGTCCCAGGTTCAATTTCGGTCAAGGGCACATGCCCACGTTGCTCGATCCCCAGTAGGGGCTATGCAGGAAGCAGCCAATCACTGATTCTCTCTCATCATTGATGTTTCCATATTCCTCTCCCCTTGTCTTCCTTTCTGAAATCAATAAAAATAAATTTAAAAAGTAATAATAAAGTGCTATGAGACAACAAAATATAGCAAATTAAATGTCCTTGTACATCATGGGCTTACAGAGGAGATAGTGGCTCTAGAAGGATAGGTAGGAATTTGTCAGGTTGACAATGTGTAGAAGAGTGTTCTAAGCAGAAGAAACTTCACGTATTAAAAAAACCCCAGTGGTATAGCCTGGCCATAGTGCCTCAGTTGGTTGAGCATCATTTCATTTACCTAAAGGATGCCAGTTCGATTCCCAGTAAAGGCAGGTTTGATCCCCAGTTGGGGAGGGTACAGAAGGCAATCAATTCAAGTTTCTCCCTCACATTGATGTTTCTCTCTCTTCCCCTCTCCCTTTTTTCCTTTCCTCTCTCTAAACATGTCCTCTAGTGAGGATTAAAAAAACAAACCCACCATTAGTATAAATGTAGGTATCATTATAACTGTATGAAGGGTAAATGTGGATTAATATTAAAAAATAGGGCTTGAAAACATAGGCTGGATCCATTTTGGTCCATTGGAGCTCGTGTAGGAAGTAACCAATGTGTAAACAACTTTATCATTTTATTATTGGTTAAAGTGTTCTTTGGCTATCAATTTTTATCCAAGATTGGTACTTAGAATACATTTTGAAGTTATTAAATGTTCAGATTGGGACTAAAAGTATAATTCATCACCATGTAATTTTTAAAGCTGTTTTTTTCGGACTATGTGAAATTAAGGAAAACAGTGCCCTCTAATGAATGTTACAAGTGACTTTAGTTTTTATTGTGATTGGGTGTTCCTACCCACCTCTCTTGGTTTTTTATCTGACATGGCTTATAGATTTCATAATAATCATGCCAGCTGTGTTTTGATTTCTATTAATGCATCCCTTTCATTATTCACCTAACTTAGAAAAATGTGGTTTCTTTTGAAATATATTAGAAATTTATTTTTTAATAACCTAAGTTTATGTATGAAGGAGTCAGTTAGAGAGAAATAGAAAGGATATATATGGAAAAAGAAAAATATTCTTCACATGTGTTAGAGCTTGTTTCTATGGATAATATACACTTTATCTAAACAGTATTTTTTCAAGATAAAATATAAAATTTGTTTTGTCTTTCTAAAAGTGTAAAACTTCAATATTAGCAATGTATAATAAGTAGATTAGTAAAAATAACATAAATCCTTTGGGTAGGAATTAAGAAACAAGTCACAGAATTCTTTTCTGTTGGAGAAAGACATAAATAAGGCTTATTGGTTCTTTTATAAATTTACTGGAGGCCCGATGCACGAAATTCATGCAAGAATAGGCCTTCCTTCCCATAGCTGCTTCCCAGGCACCCGGGACCAGACTTCCCTCTGGCCACAGGCAGAAACTCAGGACCCGGGCTTTCCTCGCAGCCCTGGCTTTGTCCGGAAGGATGTCTGAAGGACTGAAGGACGGCTGGTCTAATTAGCATATTATGCTTTTATTATAAATGATTGTCAACCTTAAAAGTACTGTGTGGCTACCCTACTACCTGTCTTTCTCTGGGTAACTTCCCTTCTCCCTCTAAGCAGACAGTCTCTTCTATAATAATTGATAAGGAAAAAAGCCATTATTTCTTTAGTAACAAATGTACAAAATTATCTACATCTGTACTCATTCTATTCTTTCTTTTTTTAATATAGAGGAATTGATCTTCCTATCCCATCTCCTTAGGAAGCTTAGAATATTTATTATCCCTATACATTCATTTATATTCGGTCTTCTTCTTAGCTGAAGCTTCTCATTTTTTAAAAAATTTGTATTTATTGAAAGTATTACTAGATGTCTCCTTTTTTCCCCATTCTTCCCCTCCCCCCTCACACCCTTATCCCAGGCCTTCACCACACTGTTGTCTGTGTCAGTGGATTTGCATATATGCATATAAGTTCTTTGGTTAATCTCTCCCCACCTACCCTTCACTCCCACCTTCCCCTTGACTTTTTATTTAAATAAATTTTAATTTTATAATAGTTTTAAAATTTACAGAAAAACTTAAAAGATACTATAGTGGTCCTGGCTAGGTGGCTCCGTTGGTTGGAGCATCATCCTGGAGCATAAAAAAGGTTCTGAGTTCAATTCCTGGTCAGAGCATGTATCTAGGTTTTGGGTTCAATCCCCAGTCCAGGCACATATGGAAAGCACCTGATCAGTCAGTCTCCTATGCACTGAGCCTCTAGGGTTTGATAATAAAAGGAATATTAGATTAGTGGGAAAGCCCACCTACAGGTAGTCAAGATTCATTTGAGCATTCTTGAATTACAGTGCTGACATATCTAGTGGAAGCCTACTAAGTACAAATTCAATAGACTGAAAATGTTTATATGAACACTTGTCATTGTATTGGAATTACAGGTTATACACATTTTAAGAATCTGTTTCTTTCTAAAAATGAGTGTTACGTTCCTCAGTCATGGCTTAATTGATATAGATAGTATGTTGTCTTTTTTGTTTCTAAGAGTAGGTGAGAAAATAGGATGTCAAGTCCTGTTGTCTTTCAGAAAGAGTGTCCCAAATAATGTATATACACTTTAACAGCTGTTAATTTTTAAAATGAAATATTTTCATAAACATTGTTTTTGAATAATTATTCAAAGTGTGTATATACATTTTGGCAAGGGACACCTTATATATTATAGGGTATGAAAATGAGGTTCAAAGTCTGCCCACAACTTACTTTAACTTTGGCATATTATTTACAGGATTAAGATAGTGTCATGATGATGGTAATGGCAATTTTTCTAAGACAAAATGATCCAGTAGAATAGAGGTTCTCAGTCTCTTTTCAGCCCCCCCTCATATCTAAGAACACATTTCTGACAGTAACAGTAATTCCCATGGGAGGGAATTGAGATGTTTGAGAAAAGCTCCCTTTGTGTTCCTAATGTGCACATTCATTTTTAGAATGGCAGCCTTTAAGCTTTTGCACATACTTCATTTGTTTTGAAGTTCAGTTAGAGCCGCATTGCCAGCATATTAATACATCATTACAGTTGTGATACAGTGATTACAGAGCCAAAGTTATCAGAAGTCTCCTGTAATGCTCAAGGCCACTTAAAAGTTACACATAATTATAAGAAGGCTATTATAAATTATAACTTATTTTGGATTTTTTTGTAATGTGTTTACTGTGGTAAGAGCTATCTGACCAGGAATTTGCTTAGAGCTGCCAAAAAGCTAAGTATTCTCTTGGAATCATTAAGTATATATAAAAAAAATTATCTTCATTTCTTTAGAAAGCAGAATTAAGGGTTTTTTTTATATTATATTAAAATACAGAAGCTTGTTCGATTCCTTTACCTATTTCTGATTTTATAAAATACGTATTTAAAATATTCTAAAGTAATCTAAGATGGAACTCATAAAAACAGGAGTCACACTTGTCTTCACTGTATCCTCAGTACCTAGCAATGTGCTTGGTGAATGTTGAATAAATGAGCTTTGTCCTCTGTCCTCTGAATAATTTCTGTAGGAGAGCATGTCAACAAGCTAGTCATTATATAAGTTGTTAATCTTGTCATGTTCAGCAGATAAATATGCAAGCAAAAATTTATAAAAATTCCATTTAAGATTCAGTAAGTAATACTTGAATATAACTTTAAAATCGTGTTTGCAGTTATTAAAATAGGTGGTGAAGTAGGTATGCTTTACTCTTTGAATTTGTTTCTGACAATTTATTGGTAAACTGCCTTTTGTCTGAATTTTCTGCTGCCTGCATAGGTGGAATTCAGTTATGCTGTTTATTTTATAGATCAATTATTAAAATTTAAATTTAGCTCTATAAATGATAGTACAGTATTTACTTTTTTAAAAGCAGACTTTCAGTATATTTTAATGATCTCACTAAATTTCATCCTTTAAACAGTTACTCTTTGCTGTGTTAATTTTTGATACACCCCTTACAGTTACTCCTTATATACTTTATATAACAGTAATATCTGTAATACTTTTATCTTACAGTCTTGAATTTGTAGTCTCTGTAACACATCTGCTTAAAAAAAAATACCTCAGCATTTTGTCATAGCCACCCTGCACCAAAATATATTTGGTGTTTTAAGAGTGTAATACTATTTATTCACTTAGGAATGAATAAGAAGATAGTATTCCAACTCTTGATAAGAAAGAATTCCTAGCTTGCAGACATATTTTTTCTAGATGCTTCTCATTGTTTTAGATTGACATTTTATTTTTTTCATAGACATTCATTGTTTTGTTCATATTAGTTTCTATTTATTCTCAATATCTTTTTTTTTCTTTATAAAATATATGACAAGAGTTAAATTCTTATTCGTGAATTTAAGAATCTGAATTCCAGAGTTATATATAAGAAAGTAAACATGTTCTATCAATTTGTGTGACCTTGGCAATAAATCTTTTTTTTTTTTTTTTTTTTTTTAATTATTTAAGACTAGAGTGTTGATTCACACTGTAAGCCTTCCTTCCCTTGGCTGTCAACACCAGTTTTCCTGCAGCACCCAGGACCCAGGTCTTCGCTCTGGCTGCTGCCTTTTGTCTTCACTTTGGCTGGAGCCTTCAGTCTTTGCTCTAGCCAGAGTGCTGCTCCTGTATCTCCCTCCACCTCCCGCCTTCTCCCTTATAGCAGGCGTCCTGCCCTGCCTGGCCACTCTGCACCTACATGCATGCTGCCCAGAGTCCCAGAGCTGCTGGGGGCGGGGCCACTGCCATCTTTGTTGGGTTAATTTGCATACTCACTCCTGGTTGGCTGATGGGTGTTGTGAAGTGACAGTCAATTTGCATATTTCTCTTTTATTGGTGTAGATCATATGTAAATAGGTTGTAAAAATTATACATAAAATAAAGGTTGTTAAGAATTAGGCTTTTAGGTACCAGGTATTGTTTGCCATATTTTCCATATTAAAGTTAAATAACTCCATTAGTATTTGGAAAGTGCTGTATGTTTTATTTTATTATTTTGCATAGTTGATAATAGAAAACAAGGACTTAATATCTCTGAGGCATATATAAAATAGTACATTGATGGATGGTTCCAAAACTTCATTTTTTATTAATTTTTTTTGGAAATACTATATTTAGGTCTTAAAAAGTGCAAAAAGAAGCAATTTTCCATTCAATGATACTTCCTCTGACCAAAGTTTTTATTAGTTTATCAAAATACAATAAAGTACTGTTGGACATGGAGTTTTCTTTGTGTTTTTTTAACTTTTTATGTATCATTGTGGGGGGATATATATATGTAATATGCAAATTAGCTGGGCATATTAGTCACAACTGTCTCAGGAGGAGCTGCACACACAGATGAGCAGGAGGGGACTGTGTGCCACCCCTAGCCCCAGTGGACACACTCCAGGGGTGGGGGCATGCTCCCAGGCTCGGCTCAGAGCACACCTCCAGTGGGTGGCAGCAGAGGCCAGAGCGAAGCAGCCCCAGTCCCAGATGCTTGGCGGCAGCTGGAGCAAACCAGCCTGGGTCCTGGTGGGTGGCGGTGGCAGCTGGAGAGAAGCATCCTGGGTCCCGTTACCTGGCAGCAGCTGGACAAAGCAGCCCAGTCCTGGGTGCCAGAAGGAAGCTTGTGTTGGCAGCCAAGGGAAAGGAGGCCTATTTTTGCGTGAACCTTCGTGCATCGGGCCTCTAGTATATATACAAAAACAGTTCCTTTGAGCTGCCTCTGTTACTTTTGGTCATTCAACTTTAGGCAGTTTATCATACTCAAAGTGTGGTGAGTGATGTTAAAAATCTGCTTGTTGGATTATATTTAACACCTCCAGAAGAAATTGCATATTTGAACCTCCAGAATTTGACTAAAACATACTCTTTAATAATCTAATGTAAATTACACACTTTTTACTGCTGAGATTACATATAAAAGAACTTTATATCCTTTTACTGTCTAAAGATTAAGAAGCCTGTTTTTTGTGTTTTTTTACATTATTGTTGTCTTTTTCATTATGTACAAGGGGTACTATAAAATAAATTTTTAGAAAATTCTTATTTTCATCTCTGCTTGTTAACTTTTCCCCTATTTTTGTTCTCTTAATACCTAAATTTCCATCTCTATTTTTTCCTAGATCTTTTGTGTTAGGACTTTTTGTTTTGTTTTGTTTTTAAATATTGAGTTTCCATTACATATTTCAGTGCATTCCGTTTATCTCATTTTTTTAATTCTATACAAAATAGACAATTTCAAAGTTTAAAAACAATGAGTTTGAGAACTCACTTTTTAAAGTCTTTTTTTTTTTTGCCAGCTTTGGACTTAAATTGCTTCTTCTGTGTCAGCCATTTCCTGATCAATAATAGGTTGTAACTTGAAGTTGTCTTTTTCATTATATTTTAATTGAAAAACTGAGACAAATAGTATTTTCTTGCTCTAAGGCAGTGGTTTTTAACCTTTGTAATGCCCAGACCCTTTAATACAGTTCCTCATGTTGTGGTGACCCCTACCATAAAATTATTTTCGTTGCTACTTCATAAGTGTTACTTTGCTACTATTAATGAATCGTAATGTAAATATCTGTGTTGCTCTAAGGCATTCCTAGGGAACACAAAGATTAGTGAAGGAAATATATAGAAAAATTATTTATTTAGTAGTTTTGTTTTAAAAAATCGTGTTTTTATAGAATTCTTTGGTAACTTAAAATCTCAGTCTTAAAATAATAGAATGTTAACTAATCTGTGTAAAAGATGGGGTTACAATTTTAATTGTGAACTTCAATGTTTTTGAGCCTTTGAATATTCTAACAATCAGGTATGTTGCAAAACTTGACAGATGTTCAACAATTTAATTATAATCCATTTTGTCTATTCTAAGACCCTCTTTAAATGAGAATTTCAAAAATTGAGGAAGAGATTAATTGAAAATTTGAGAATACTAACTATATGATTGTTTGCTTACAGTCAGAAATTGGGTTTGGGAAAATGGAAACTTACATCAAATTGGAGAAGCTTGGAGAGGTAAGTAAATACTTATTTTAAAAATGCAAGACTTTTTTTTTTATTGTGTATCACCTAAACTCCTCTATTAGTCTATAGTTTTTTCCAACCTGGAAAAAAAAAAAAAAGTAAGCATTATTGTGTAAAAGTTCTTAATCTTGTTCTGAAAAGACGGCAGAATGTTAGAAAGAAAAACTCCTTAAATTCTTGAAATTACCCTATTAGTTTGGGGGAGGCGGGGGGGAAAGTATTTTCTATCACCTTGTAATTTTTATTGAAGCACAAAATATTGAGCTTCCTTGGTATCAATTTGTTAGTTAAGTATCTATTTGTTAGTTAGCTCCCTGACAATCTGCTACCTGTACTGTCATACGGGAATTACATGAGTTCAAACCTCTGAAAAATCAAAATACTGTCTTAAAGATACTTGTCACAGAAAGAAATCCCTGGCTAATAAGACCTGGGTTTTCTTGAACTTGCTGCTACTACTACTAATTTTGAAAGTCTCCCTCCCAGAGTGAGAGAGGTAAAGAAAATAAGTTTTAGTGAACAGGGGAGTTATCTTAGCAATATAGAAGAAATCTCCTGTAGAATACAATTGCGGTTGTATCTTTTTAAAATCTTTATTGTTGAAAGTATTACATATGTTCCCTTCTAGCCTGCCCTTTTTCCCAAACTATATTTGTGTGTTTTTTTAAAGGAGAATTAATGTTTGAAAATTCTGAAAACCAGTAAAATTTTTATAATTTAACAATATGTTAGTTAGAATTTCAAGTTAATATGTTCAGTTTCCTCAACCTCCACATACTATTACAGGTAAAGTACCTTTGATTCTGAAGCTACTGATCTCCAATTATTAATCTAATGCAAAGTATAAGTAGTAAATTAGATATTCTTACATTTTATAATTTTAGGGACTTTGAGTTGTAAGTATGGAAGATGTGCATATGGAACTGAATGTCCTTTTAGGTATTGGAAAGCCAATGCTAATCATTGTGCAATTTTCCTTGCAAGGTAGAATTTAACATATGCTTAGAACTTAGAAATTTGGTTAGTGCTCTTTTTTATATAGGTGGTATAGATATACTCTTTGTAATCTTTTGCTGTGTCTTTCAAAAATATATATTTTATAGGGTACATATGCTACAGTATATAAAGGAAGAAGTAAATTGACAGAGAATTTGGTGGCATTAAAAGAGATCCGATTGGAACATGAAGAAGGTGCACCCTGCACAGCTATAAGAGAAGGTATAATTTGATCTTTTGTGAGTAAAATGTATTATATCATAGACAAATATTTGACATTGGGAACTGTTTTATAATGGCACATTGGGAAAAGCTATGTTAGTATATACAGAATGTAAATATATTTCTATCATGGTACCATTTTTTTTTCCAAAAGAGAGATATCTAGAAAATGGTTGAGGCACTGATAAGCAATTTGAAGGAAAAAGGTACCTTGTACTCTATATCTAATTAATCTTAGAAATCTTAATAAGCTTACATTTGAGGGGAAAGAACAGACAATAATAAGCAGAGTATTATTATCATATTGGGGACAACTTTATTAAAAATACCAAACACAGAATCATAAAAGAAAAGAAAAAAAATAACTCTTATTAAAATTTCTACTTCAAATCCCCTTGGTGAATTAATGTTTTAAACTTAGGAGAATATTAAACATAATCAATTTATGTTAAATGTACTTCAGGTTATTATTAAGACAGGCTACCATATTAACTTTCTTTTCTGTTTTGCAGTTTCACTGTTAAAGGATCTAAAACATGCAAATATAGTTACCTTACATGACATTGTTCACACAGATAAATCCTTGACTCTGGTCTTCGAATATCTGGTACGCATTTAATTAAAATTCCGTATTTACTTTTGCTTTTTTATTGTATATTTTTTTAGAATATTTTTTCCATTGATTTTTAGAGCATAAGGGAATGTGGGAGGTGGAGAGAGAGAATGATTTAAGAGAGTCATATCAATTGGTTGCTCCTGCATGCTCCCTGACCGAGCCTGGGGTAAACTTGCAGTTCTTCAGTGTGCAGATTGACACTCTTAACTACTGAGCAACACTGGGCAGGTCTACTTTTGCTTTAATAAAATATAGCAAATTGGGTTTTCTAACAGACCCAGAGACATTTTTGCTTAGTTATTGATCTTTAATTAAATTATGTGGTATGTGGTAATTCAATATCTTTCCTTGGTATCACATAGTAAAGTGCTCTATTTTTTCAGGATAAAGACCTAAAACAGTACATGGATGACTGTGGAAACATCATGAGTATGCACAATGTAAAGGTATGTTTTAATGTGTAATTTTGAATTTCGTTTAGAGCAGAAACTAACCTTAAGCATAGACAAACTACATTACTTAGTGAAATATACTATCTTGATAACTATTCTGCTTCAGAATGATGTTTGGCATTTTAAAGAGTTATTGTCCTCTAAATAATTTACTTTTATTAATTACACTATATTTCTTAAGATCAGACTTTTTTGTAGAACCTGCTTTGTTTTAAAAATCTTACAAACCACTTTTGACATTTATTTTCACATAATAATACTGATTCTCTTAGATACAGAATATATTTACACATGTAAGCTGCTTTAAAAACAAAATAAAACCAAAAGCCTATCAATAAAAATTCAAATATTTAAAATAAATACAAATGACTAGTTCATTCTGTGAAAAGCCTTCTTTAAATGGCAAACTTCCCCAATATATTTAAAATGGTATTTAATTATGAAATATAACAATATTCAAGTTACTAATCTAGTAAGGCCAGGAACATGCACAAGTATTATGAATAGTAGGTTGGAAATACCACTCTGTTGTCAAAAGGAAAAGTGAGGTAATTATTATGTTTTCTTACCTGTATATCTAAAGATGCAAGTAATGCCAGAAAAGTTTGGCATAATCATCACTGTCAGCTGAAACCCAAAAGTAAGGGGAAAGTAAAAACATTCGATATATTATAGTTGTGTCCTTACAGTCGGTTTCTTCAACCAGAGTGGTATACTCCAAATTTAGCAAAGATTTACTTATCCAAAAGTAGTGGGCAATTTGTGAGAAACTATTCTGGAAATAGGCTGTCTTGGCTGTGGGTTTGAGACAGTTCCAATTCTGTAGATACTAACTTTAAACTTACATTTTTTTTAAAAAATTGTAATTTTGATAGATATAAAGGAGAATCAATTTCCTCTACTAAAATACAATTCAGAATATATTGGATACCACATTGCTAAAATTTTTAGGATAGGGCTTTAAGTGTATTTTTATATACATTCTCTGAGAATTGTTTTAATCATATTTTATATTTTATTTTGCAAGTTGTTGTGAATCTCATTTACATATATTTCTCTTTGTGGTTTTTATTTATTTTCTGCTTTCATATTAGCAATAATTTGGAAAGAAAATAAGTCCTTAGTTATAATTTGACAAAGATTTGAGAAGTTTGTATCTTTTAAGGCAGTTATACATGTCTGGCTTAAAGTATTTTGTTTATTTAAATAGAAAATTTAACTTTGTACTTTCATTTTTCTAAGCTTAAAAAGTAACAGGAATATATAGAAAGAGTGATTTTTAAATAAATAAATAAGTATGTAGTGTAGAAACTCTGCTACTTATAATTTCTTTAGGTCTATTGTTCTCCTGCTTTGGCTTATTCTCAGAATTCTAATGTAGCAATTTTCAACCCATGTACCACAAGAATTTTTAAAACATACAATACCTCACTGTTTAGTTAGGGGCACTGACCTCTTTTCTCTTAAGTTATCAAATAAAAAAATGACAACAGGCAACACAACAATCTCCATTTGGTGTAAATGAATTGAATTTTTTTGTCAGATCAGCCCAAAATATATTTTTTGGTGTGCCTCAGAATTTTAGTAATTTATGTGTGCCATGAGATGAAAAAGGTTGAAAATCGCTGTTCTAATGCTTTGTTTTTCACCTGTAAGTAAACAAAGGATATACTCTTCAGTCCTCTACTTCAGCCTCTTTTTGGTTAATCCCAAAGAGTCAAAAACTGTTTCATATCCCCTTTTCCACCAAAATCAACACAAAAAGCCTTAGGAATTGCTTCTTTCAAAGGTTCATTTAGAGCTCTACAGTGCTAATTCCCTGTTCTGAATCATAGCATATTTTGAAGGCTGAGTAGGAGTTGCTGAAAGTAAAATACCCAGGAGGTGAGTGATAGAAGCTGGTTTAGGTTATTTTTATAGCACATAATTTGCCAGTGCTGTGTGAGGCACAATTCTGTTTGACTTATCAGAGTTTTCATAAAACCACCAATTCCAGTACCTTTAAAAGACATTATCCCAGGTCAGATTTTCTGTTTTTTGGCAGGGTGGGCAGTGAGGATAGAATTTGGTTGGTGGTTTTGCCAGAATTTCATAATTAAACTGTAAGCCTCGGTAGGCCTATTAGTTCATGAGGATATGTGCTGTTTTTAAAAAAATTTATATGTCTTTTTTAATGATTTTAGAAACAAGAAGGAGAAAGAGAGAGAGAGACAGACAGACAGACACATGGATGTTTGAGAAAGAGACATCTGTTGGTTGCTTCCTGCTTACTCTCGAACCAGAGATCTAACCCACAACCTGGGTATGTGCCCTGACCAGAAATCAAACCTGCCATCTTTTGGTGTATGGGATGACGCTCCAACCAACTGAGCCACACTGGCAGGCAGGGCAAGGCTATGTTTATTTTAAATTAGAGGCCTGGTGCATGAAATTTGTGCACTGGGGGCTTTGAGGAGTCCTCAGCCCAGCGTGCGCCCTCTCTCAGTCCGGGAGCCCTCAGGGGATGTCTGCCTGCTGGACATCCCTCTTGCAGTCCAAAACCCCTCATTCCTTACCACCTCCCTGCTCGCTGTTCCTTACTGCAAGGCTTGCTGCTCCTTAGCACTGCTGTGGAGGCAGGAGAGGCTCCTGCCACCACCACTGCGCTCACTAACCATGAGCCCGGCTTCTGGCTGAGCAGTGCTCCACCTGTGGGAGTGCACTGATCACCAGGGGCAGCTCCTGCGTTGAATATCTGCCCTCTGGTGGTCATTGTTTGTCATAGTGACAGGTCTTTCTGCTGTTCCGGTGATTTGCATATTAGGCTTTTATTATGTAGGTTCATTTTCTATAAGAAGAAACTATTACTAAGATAAAGTTTCATTTCACTTTATGAAACCTTGCTATTTTTATTTATTTGCATAGACACTATCAGACTAAAAATATAGATTGATGTTTCAAATAGAAAACAACTATATAAGGAAAAGGTTTTATACTTAAGGGTATGGTTCCTTTTTGTTTTTTTACTATTCTAAGCCAGTTTTCTTTTCTCTTTACCATAACTTACATCAAAATCTTTCTCATTATCTGTAAAACTAATTTCTATTTATTTGTTTCTATAGCTGTTTTTATACCAAATTCTACGTGGTTTGGCATATTGCCACAGAAGGAAAGTGTTGCACCGAGACTTGAAACCACAGAACCTCCTCATAAATGAAAAAGGAGAACTAAAGCTAGCTGATTTTGGTATGGAATGTATGAGATATTTATAAATAGTTCTAGGTGGTTAGAACAACCGTTGACACTGCTTTTATATGGGTGTGGAAATTTTCTGTATAGCCCACAGAATAAGATATTCGACAAAAACTTTGGTAAGTGAGTTATGTTAGTAAATGTTAAAAGGCACCATTCTCGGGTGTGATCCATAGACCACTAAGGCCCTTTTAGAGGGTCTCCAAAAGTCTAATATGTTACCAAATTTATACTGAATGTTATTTGCCTTTTTTACTGTATTAATATTTGTATTGATGATCCAGAAGCAATAACGGGTAATGTTACTAGTGCCTTAGTATTAATCAAGGTAGTGACACCAAACTATACTTACCTGGTAGTAGTCATTGTATTCTTTTAGTAACAAATTGAAAATTCACTGTTATTAAGTGGTGAATTTTTCTAGAAATTTCTATACTTTTACTTTTTTAACACTTTACTATTTGTTTGAAAGGTAGGTTGCTATTTGTATTTCCTTCCTTAAAAAGGAAGTGGTCATGTGTTTAAACAAGAAAGTACAAGTTATTTGCATAGGCTTATATACATTACACAATCTCCTACGCATAGTTCTTACCTCCGCAGACTCCCCTTTTTTTTGCCAAGCTGCACTCACTGTTCTTTATTCCATAATCCCAAAATGAATGGCAGTGATAGAGAAATCCAGCTTCCCTGTTAGAAATTCAATACAAGAATGGCAAGGGCCATTAAAAATTTACCTTTAGGAATTCGAGGTTGGAGGGAGGAATACTATCGGTGCTTGAAATTTTGCTTCTAACTTCTACAAAGCAAGCCAAGCAAATCGTATCTCCCACAAGCCAACAAGAAATTTTGATTGTTCCATAAGATAGTATAATTAATTTTGCGTTTTGCTTTTAATTATATATTATTGATTGCATTAGTAGTACATACTGTTGCACCAAAACTTGAAACTACAGACCTTCTCATTAATGAAAAAGGAAAACCAATATTTTTTTATTGGTTGCAAATAGGGGAAGGTCAGGTAACTTTGAGTATTTTACTGTAAATTGTTTTTGATCCCTGTGAAAATTCTACTTTTTTATTGTAATTAGTGAAATTCAGGTTTAGTTAGTACTATTATAGACATTTTCATCTCTAATAGAACATGGCTTATATAATAATACTGAATCACATTTAAATACTTTGATTTGAAAGAGATTATTATTATTTAATTTCATACCAATGCTGAAATTCAGATTATGAACCAGGACCCTGTGTGAACAAGCACCTTAGTTCAGAATTCTCTTAGGAGTAGGAGAGTAAGGTACTGAGGAAACTATGGCAATTGTTTTGTTACCATAGGTTATAGGATAAGTCAACTTGTGGCCCTGTCCTTTCCCCCATATAACCACTATTCATATCAGGAAGAGTGATCAAAAAGCTGCTCTCATCTTGCTAATTAGCAAAATTGTTAGGAAAATAATTTGTTGAATTTATTTTTCCAAGTTAGGATGGTAGAATAAAACTTGTAATTAAATGAAATACTGTCAACGTTGTTCTAGTTACACCCTTTAGCCATCAAGCAAAAATAGTATGAATGCTACCTATTATTTTAAATTCTGGTTTCATTGGAGTGACTTAATCCAGTTTATTAAAGTATTAAATTATCCTTTTATGATACTTAAAAGATGTAATATTTTAATCAGACACATGTTATATATCTCTAAACCTACTTTTTAAAATAATTTTTTTAACTTTTCACAGCCTAAAAAAGTAATTATTTTTTGTTTGAAATAAACTATATATTTCTTCAGAAATCTTTTAAAGTTGCTCCTTCAGAATTTTTAGGCTTAGACGTAGTAAAAATAACTCTATGCCAATGGCTCAAGAGGGAAAGATGTGAACTCTCACCCTTATTTCTGGATAATCAGTGAATTCCGTATTAAATTGGCAAAGGAATGGTAGGTGTTTTATATCATTTACAACAATTAATAATACCCTTTAAAGGCAGTGACATTTGTCTTATTTTAAAATTATCCATATAACTTAAAATTTAAAAATGGTACAGAAAAGCAATGTAATTTATTCTAAGGAACTTCTCTAAATAGACTTTTACAAGAAAATTGTCAGTAAAACTACAGGATGGTATCAGATGGATACTAGACTTATCAGGATGATCACTTCGTAAGTTACATAAATGTCTAATCAGTATGTTGTACACATGAAACTAATATATTGTATGTCAACTGTAATTGAAAAGTAAAAAAAAAATTATTTTAAAAAGTAGGTTTAGAGATGAAAAAAGGTTTGGGACCAATAGCTTCTCTTTTTTTTATTTTTGATAAAAATTGGTGTAGCAAATGGAAATTGGAGTCAAGTTTAAAACTGACAAAAGCCTATAGCTATAAGAAATAAAATTGTTGATATCAATGTCATTGGTCTATTTTACATTAATTTAAATTCAGCTAGGAAATAATTTTGACATGATTCATGGATAACAGGAAAATACCTTAAGTATAAATTAACCCAGACATTGTACCAGGTGTATTTATATGCATAAAAGTAAACATAATACCTGATTGTGAGATTACTGTTAATTTAATTACATAAGGATTTGCTAACCTTATACCATGTGCACTTACAAAAAAATCATAAAACTAATTTTGTTAAGCTTTAAAAAGCTATAGAGTAGCCATCTCAGGCATCCTAGTAATTGGAGTCATGGTGATAACATGGGCTGGGAAATACATTGTACCTATTTTTTTTTTTTTTTTCCCTATGAAGGACTAGCCAGGGCCAAGTCAGTTCCCACAAAGACCTACTCAAATGAAGTTGTCACACTATGGTACCGGCCACCTGATGTGCTTCTTGGTTCCTCAGAGTATTCAACACAGATTGACATGTGGTAAATATATGGGGATGTTATTGCTATTTATAATTTTGAAAGAATGTAGCCATAAATACAGGGCATACTGATAGATATTTGACTTTTAAGGATATTATTTTTAAAGAGCCATGAGATAAGCAGTGACTAAGATTCTGGCATGTAAGATCACTTAGGTTTAAATACCAATTCTACCATTTATGACTGTATAATAACTTTATTCAGATTATAGACCTGTGCCTTAGTTTCCTCATCTAAGGAAATGGGAATAGTAACAATAATGACTTTAAATGACTTTTCTGTGCATAATATTAAGGCCAAATGAACTAATACATATAAGGCACTTAGAAGTGTGTCTGGTACATAGTAATTTAAAACAAAATTATTGTTTTTATAGCCATTTAGTAGTCAACAAAATCTGCTTGCTTTAATGTAATCTAAAAATAAAATATTATAGCCATCTTCCTCACACACTACTTTGATCATGACACTCCTTCACTCAAACAACTTTGCTTCTTCCCTATGCATTACCTTTAGAATAAGGTACATTTCTTCATCTGGTACCTAATAATGGTCTCCATAAAATGTCTCTAGCTACCTTTTCCAACTTACTTCAGAGGATCCTTTTACCCAGATGTTCTCTTTTAGCGAAATGGGCTGCTCATTATATCTCAAACATAATCTGGGCTTTCTCACTTCTGCAGTGCTCACACCAGTCCTTCCATCTGAAATGCCTGCTCTTTTCTCTGATGGCCCTGTACCTAGGAACTTCCAAAAATACAATTTCATAAATCTTCCTTGAACGCAACTTAGCCTTCAGTGGCAATTTCTTCCTCTGAAATGCAGTTGCATTTCATTGCCTATAGCCTTCATGTAGTGATAAATAAAATAATTCCTTCTGTTGTCATGTGTTGAGTAATTATATAATTTTATTTTGTATAACATTTTTTCTTTTTTTTAAATTTACTTTTTAATTGTGGTAAATAAAATTAATCCATTTTAAATGTACAGCTCTCTGTGATTAAGGACATTCACATTGTTGTACAACCATTACCACCATTCATTTCCAGAACTTTTTTAATCTTGCAAAACTGAAACACTGTAGCCATTAAACATCTTCCTATATCCTCCTTCCATTGTACCCTTAGGCAACTCCCTGTACCCTCCTCCCTTCAGCCCCTGGCAACCATCATTCCACTTTATGTTTCTGAATTTGACTTTTCTAAGTACTTCATATCAATGGAATTATACAGTCCTTTTGTGACTGACCTATTTCACTTAGCATAAGTGTCTTCAAAATTCACCCACGTTGTAGATATTTGGCTTTTAAGACTGAATAATCATTGCATAGGGTACATTTTATTTATCCATTCATCTCAGTGGACACTAGTACCTAGCATTGTTTTCTCCTTTTGGCTATTGTGAATAATGTTGCTAGGACATGGGTGTACAAATATCTCTTTGAGGCTTGCTTTCAGTTCTTCCGGGTATATACTTAGTAGTGAAATTGCTGGATCATATGGTAATTAATTCTATTTTAAGTGTCTGAGGAACTATCATATTTTTTCCATCATGGTGCCATCATCTTCTTTCTGTATAACATCTACATTATTAAAGGCCACTGCCCCTTTAACGACCGCAAGGACCAGAGGGATGATGGGTCACCATGAATTGTATTGAGCACCCCTGGGTCCTTCCCCAGGTCCCCACCCATTAGCAGTGACTGGCACTCCCAGCAGCAGGGTTGGTGGCTCATGACTCCCGGTGCAGAAAATTCAAACCAAGGTGGTAGGACTGAGGCAGCAGATCGGATTTTAAAATAACTGCCTTTGTGACACAAATGTGGAGCTGGAAAAGCAGTCCTTCCGGGCAAGGCAGAGTCTCTCACTAGAACCATCACCATGTGTTCCTACTCTAGCGTGCCCAGTGTCTTCACTGCTGCTGGGAAAAGTTGGGTGACTTCTGGCTCCTGACTCCTTGGGACAGCTAACCCCTTCCTCCTTCGCAGTGTCCCACCCAGCAGTGGGGAGGGAGCAGCCTCCCTCTTCCAGCCCCAACACTCCGAAACCCTGGGAAGAAGTGCCCGCCCAGCCTCAGGCTCCCCATCCTCTGGAGCCTGCACCCTGCTGCTCCTCTCCGCCATCAGCCCTCCAGAGTGGGAGGAGAGGAGAGGAGGAGGGAAGCTATTGGTGTGCCTCCCTCAGGCAGTAGATTCCCTGTGGTCACAGTGACAAAGGCTATGGAGGGTCAAGACACTGCCTCTGGTTGAAGCAGGTGCCGTGGGAGCAAAGGGACCGAGAAAAATGGTTATGTCCAATAGCCTTCTAACGCCACAGGTGTGCGAATTAGTCATTGTTGGAACCAAGTCTAGTACTGGTGTGCCCCATTTTAAGCAGACCCCCCAAATAGATTGACCATGTCGATAATTACTTTACTATAGAAAGAATGCAAAAAGATTCTTGAAATAAGCAAAAAATTTTGCACCTCATAGTACAAATTGTTTAAACATCATTAAAAATAGTCTCTATGAGTAAAGGGAGTTGATATTAGAAAAATCTAACATACCCAATTCAAAATGTCATTCAGAAATGCATCTACTGTGTAAAATGAAAGTATGGTATCTAAGGGTTTGGAAAAAACAACTTGACTGCATTCTCCCTGCTCATCCCCTCAGCCTTATGTTTTGCACAAAAGTCTCAATAAAGAAATGGAGCAGAAGGAAAAGTAATGCCTCTTGGCACTGAAATTTATCAGTTCTTCAACAAATATTTATAAAAGTTGTATAATTTTGTGCCTGTATTATAGAAACACAATATTAACTCTGTCCCTATCTTCAAAGGGCTTAAAGTTTCTGTGAGTTCCCAGTAAGGTAAACTTGTAAACAGCCAAAGATTGAGTAGGTTTCAAAACAATTCTTATAAAAATTATTCAGTTAAAAACTTGTCCTCGCTCCTTCTAGAACAGGAATTAAAAGGAGCAAATAAATATACTGAATTAATCTGAACTCTTTTGAGGACCCCCAGCCCTCGGACTAACACAGCTTTTGTGAGGTCTAAAGTTTACTGAATCTGAAGGACTAATTTTAGGGGGGAGGGGATTTAATAAGGTTCAAAAATTACTTTATTTAGAATAAGAAAAAAAATTACAAATAACTGTAGGCTTGGGGAATCTGTCCCTTTCTCTTTTAAATCATTTCAGGCAGATTATCCAAAATGCTGCTGGTTGCAACTTGCTTGCTCTCTCCCCCAGAACAAATACAGGGGATTTGAAACTTCCTTAGCTTTACCATAAAAATGATAAATAAAAAATAAAAATAAAAAATTAATTAAAAACATTTCAACGACATTTCTTTTTGGACAAAATTCTTTCTTTTTAAATTTTTAATTTTATCAAAGTAGTAAATACGTAGTTCATAATGTATCTTTTTTCCCCCTAATAGATATATAGTGTAGTGGTATATCATCATTGCTTTTATTGTACCGTTGACTCTATTATAGATGTTTCCTATCCCTCCCCTCCCCCCTTTATCCACCTCTACCTAACTCAACCACCTCTGGCCATCACCACACTTTTGTTTATGTCCATCCCTTTCCCCTCTGACCTCTGTCAGTCCCTCCCATCCTATATAATAAAAGGCTAATATGCAAATTGACCGAACAGTGGAATAGTCCATCGCTATGCCACACACTGATCATCAGGGGGCAGACACTCAATGCAGGAGCTGCCCCCTGGTGGTCAGTGCGCTCCCACAAGGGGCGTGCCACTCAGCCAGAAGCCCTGAGCTGGACTCATGGCTGGCAAACATAGCAGTGATGGCAGGAGCCTCTCCCGCAAGCTAAGGATGTCTAACAGCTGGCTTAGGTCCACTCCCCCAAGGACATTCCCCGAGGGCTCCCTGACTGCGAGAAGACACAGGCTGGGCTGAGGGACCCCAGCCATATGCACATTGGGGGCAACAGGGGAGGGCTATTAGGTGTGACCAGGCAGGCAGGCAGGCAAAGGTGGTTAGGGGCGAAATATTATATACAATTTTAGATTGTGATTCCTTAAATGGGAGGGCTGTAGTCACACAAATTTTAGAAGAATCTATTCATTTAGCCTCCATCCATTTCTCTTCCTTCTCTTAAACACACACACACTCGAACACTTTCTACCCTGCACATACCTGTTCTATCTCTGCTTTCTGCATAAAAACATCTTGAGTCATTTGCTTCTGCCTACCCCTGCTACCCACTACCTAACACATAGTAAGCATTAACTCACTTTTAGCTATTGTTACTGTTACTCTTCAAGGATCATGCAAAGGATAGCTGGATATTTGATGTGTAAAAAATGGATATAGCAATATGGGAATTGAGACGAATAGGATGAGTGAGGTTTTTTTAAAAACAGACTATTAAAAAATTCTTCAGAGAGGCTATCTTAAGGAAAAGATTTTTGTGTGTCATAATATGTAAATGGTTTACTCATCATTTCTTACGATATATTTTAAAGGGGTGTTGGTTGCATTTTCTTTGAAATGGCTTCTGGAAGACCTCTATTTCCAGGATCAACTGTGGAAGATGAACTGCACTTAATTTTCCGACTGCTAGGTAACAAGAAATCTTCTAAAGATTGTATTTAAAAATTTGATACTTGAGACTAACATAAAGAGCTATTTGTTATATGAATTATAAATTAATTGTGATAAATATAAATCTTTCTAGGTAAATTTTAATTTACTGAGTTACACCTTTGTGGAAGAACAGAAAAGAGAAATGTTATTGAAAATTGACCTTTACCATATTATTAGGAAATATTTCTAGCTTAGGTGCCTATTAGGCATCATCATTTTTATGGCATCATTGCATATTCCTAAAAAAAAGTCCATATGTTTACTATTTGTGTCATTTTTGTTTCAGTTGAAAGTCAGATCATCTACTAAATATAAATTGTTCTTTAAAACACTTTCTTAGCTCTGCCTATTTATACATATTTGCATATATATAAATTTTTACATACTTATGTAATATTTTACATATTTATATGTTCATAATTTTTTTTAACTTAGGGACTCCATCTCAGGAAACTTGGCCAGGTGTTTCTTCAAATGATGAGTTCAAGAACTATAACTTCCCAAAATATAAACCACAGCCTCTAATTAACCATGCACCCAGGTATTTTTATTTTTATTTTCTCTAAGTAAAAGAGGGGAATATATACTTGGTTCTTTTTACTCTCATGAAGCATTATCCACAGTAAGGTTTTAACATTTAATACACAATTCTTAAATATTTTAGTAACTAATTTAATTGAGTCTTCCTTTCTGTGTCAGATTAATTTTATAATTCAGTGACCAGGGAGCACCAAGTTATGTGACCACAGAATTCAGCTATATACAATGTGAATATAGAGCATATGTATTAGAATTTTGGACTTTATATAAATGTTCCCTTTACCAGAGAAAATACAGTAATTAATGTTTTATTCAATGCCATTATGAAATTTCTGCTTCACTTTCTATTAAAAGTAAAGTAAAGACTAAAAGAATTAGTCTTTACTGTTTTGTTTGGTTGCTTAATTCTCACCTAAGAGTATTTCTTCCATTGATTTTTAGAGAAAGTGGAAGGGAGAGAGAGACACACAGAGATACAGCGATGTGAGAGAGGGACATCCATTAGTTGCCTCCTGCACACACCCAGATCAGGGCTGGGAATCGAGCCTGCAACCAGGGTATTTGTATGCCCTTGACCAGAATTATGTAATTTAAGTAAAACAGACATTGGTACCTTGGAGACCCTTCAGTCAAATGGCCAATGCTCTAACCACTTAACATACCTGGCTAGGGCTATATTTTTTTTTAAAATTTAAGATAGTATTATAAGTAAAATCTTGACACTGACAAAAGGTAACTCAGCAGTATTTTGGTCAAAGTTAATCATATACTAATTTGTATTTGCAGAATATAAACTCTGACCTCTCATATCCTCACTTTGGCTATTCAGTTAGTTTCTTCTGAGACCTACCCCCAGACCCACCTGACTCCCAGTAAAATTTGATTTGTAGAATGTATTATATTTTAGTAAATAACACATAATAATATTTTGACTATATTTTTCCATCTTTCCTTAAAAAATATATAAATAGGGCACCAAGGTACCAATGTCTGTTTTACTTAAATGCTATTCACATTGCTCACAACATAACACACTTGATCTAGTTTCATTTATTTTGCGGCTATGGAAGAATAGCAATACAGTCCTGATACCAAAAATATCTTTAAAGTATTTATGTGAGTTGATGTTTTTATTGTTACTGTAGCAACTAATAACATTCTAAGTATTCCTGCTTAAGAACAATCATATCATGTGCTGGATTTTGTGTGTCTTTTTCAAGTATTAATAGTATAAATCCTATTCTTGTTATGTGTCTATTGCTTGCTATTGTCCAGTGTAGAAGGTTAAAGCTCTTCTTTAGATTCTCCATGATCTTAGCACTAAAATTTGTCTATGTCCAAGGAGCTCTATGTGTTTGTCAGAATGGATACAAATGGCGAATGTCTAGGCCACAGCATCCACAATACTCACTAGGGGCCCTCAGGTGGGAAAATATTCTTTATCCATAATTGTGCTTTTGCAAGTGAAAGGCAGCAAGAGAGAACTATGATTTCTGATCAGGAGATTATCCCCTTAAGATAACCCCTAAATCATCTACTCCTATTATATTAAATTCATCGCTATAATTGTGTATCTTTAACAAATGTATCATTCATTGGTTTTGTAGCCCTGTAAATTAAGTTTTATGAAGTTACTGAGACACATTTAAATTGCACTTTATAGCTCCTAGTATCCAATGCTCAGCAGACTACCTGTTTATCTTGGCCACAGTCACTTTTCTCCTTGTTTTCACCAATATAACAGGAAAATGATGCTTTTATACTCTTCCCTTCAGTGGAACACTGAAAATTGATGCAATTTACTTAAGCTTTTTTGATAACAAAGGTTACTTTGGTTTGAGACAGAATGGTGATTTTTAAAAATATTCTCTACTTTTGCCCTAGCCAGTTTGGCCTAGTGGATAGGGCATCAGTACTTGGACTGGAAGGTCCCAGGTTTGATTCCAGTCAAGGGCACCCACCTCGGTTGCAGGCTTGATCGCCCGTGGTTGGGGCATGTGCAGGAGGCAACCAATCCATGTTTCTCTCCGTCCCCTCCCTTTCCCTCTCTCTAAAAATAAATGGAAAAATATCCTTGGGTGAAGATTAACAAAACCAGAAAAAATTCTATAGGTTTTAATAACCTAATTTGTTCTTGAATATTGGAAATTTGAATTTGCACCCGGTTATTTATGGCTTCTTCTTAAAGAAGTGGTGAGATTAGTCTTTCAAGGATACAACAGCTTTGATCTATTTGAAAGAACAAGAGTGGCTATTTTAGAGCACTAGGTTTCACAGATTAAAACATTTGGAAGGTAGTTTTGTTTGAAAAGTTGCTATATGCTAATATAAAAGAGAATAAATTGCCACTTGTTTTTTTTTTTGTTTGTTTCTAGGTTAGACTCAGAAGGAATCGAATTGATAACAAAATTTCTTCAGGTAAGTTACTTGTTGTTTTGTAATTGTTCAATGGCCTACTTTCTGTGAGACTCAGTTTCTTCATCTGTAGAATGGGATCAATAATACCTCCTTTAAAAATTTGTTATGACAAATAATATTATTTATTGTAGTATTTAGCATACTTAAGGTATATGCTAAAGTAAAAATATTATGGTCTCTTTTAATGTGTTTGGTGGGTCTCTCATTGTGACCTTGAACAGTTTGAGGCAGTTAGCTGCTGGTATCGAGATCAACTATGTCACAGCCATGTTCTCTGCAATTCGTGTTTTCTTCTGTTCTCTTTGTCTTCCTTATACTTAATTTCTGTACAAGGTGCCGCACCTCCAAGTAGCATTCATATCATCATTCAAAGCAGGGAGAAGAGAGAGTATGTGGCTTGCGTCAGCCACATACATTAGTCCTTTTTATTTGAAAAGCCAAAGCTTTCCAGAAACCCCTGTAAGGTTTTTTTTCAAAACTAACTCTTGTTGACCAGAACATTAATGAATTGTAAGAGAGTCTGGGAATTGAGGAGCAGAATTATCATAATTAGACCAAACCAGGACGGTCATGATTCATGATCCATCTGTTGGAGTTGAAGCATGGACACCTGAAATAAATCTAGGTTATCTATCAAGGGAAAAGGGGAAATGGTATTGAATAGGTAATTTAATAATGTCTGTCATAGAGATATATTTTCAATGATCCTTTGGTATTCATGAAGAAAAGTAACATCGAAGTTCAAGTATTTTAATTTTTTACCACTTCAAAAAATACAGGGAATCTATATTTTTAGATTAGATTCAACCGTATCCTGGAAATTTGGGGCTGAGATATAGTTAATAGCAATTCAAATTAGAGCTTATCTGAAGTACCTCCAAATTGGTTCTTTGAATATAGTGATTGTAGTAAGTAATCAAAATAAAGTAGTGCTAACTTCCCTCCTGTAATAGTATTTAGAGAAAAAGTTGATAAAGCAATTCTTTGCATTTTCACAGTATGAATCGAAGAAAAGGGTTTCAGCAGAAGAGGCTATGAAACATGTGTACTTTCGAAGTCTGGGACCAAGAATACATGCTTTGCCTGAAAGTAAGAGAAAATTTAGTGTTCTCCTCCTTCCCCCACACCTTCTGTCTTTTCGTTTGTTCAGAGCAGGAGGCTGAGGTCAATTAGCGGTTTAGGAAGAGATTGCTGTTGGTTGTTTTTGTTTTGTTTTATCCTCACCCAGGGATATGTTTTTATTGATTTGAGAGGAAGGGGAAGGTGGGGAGAGAAAAACATCAATGTGAAAGAGAGACATTGATCAGTTGCCTTCTATATGAGCCCCAACTGAGGATCAAACCCTCATGATTGGGAGTGGACCCTGCAACCGTTTGGTGCATGGGATGATGCTCCAGCCAAGTGAGTCATGCAGCCAGGGCAAGGTTGCTGGTGGTTTTTAAGCCTAAAATTCTAGTTTTCTTGTAATTAGATCAGAATTCCTTGATGTATTGGTTGCCTATGTTTTAATTTATTTAACATTGAGCACATTACCACTACTCTGTAAGAAATCAATAGTATTTAGGCATGGGTAATTAATCTTTTTGGACTTAAGTTGGAAATCCATCTGGTGATAGACATTGTCATTAGTCCCAATCTGTATTGCTTTGGTTCAGCGTTGTTAAAAAGTGGATTTCAGACAAAAAACAACAATGAAACACAACCAAAAACGTAAGATTGTTTCCTTGTGAAAGTAGAGTTCCTTTTTAAGACATAAAAATTACTTTCCTTTACTATTGCCCTGACAGTAGTGAGCCTACTGTCAGTTACTAAACCAGCCCATTTGTTGTGCCTGAGGTAACTGCTTGATTCTACTCATAACATTTTTTTTTAATTACCTCAATATTTTACTTTAAAATTAAGTAAGGTGATTGGGAAGTTAAAATATTTAGAAACTGAGCTTTTAAAAGCTTATTTATATCTCATTTATTAGACAATATTGATTCATCAAGGTTTGCTTATTGGAATCAAGACTTTCCACTTGGAATTTACAATATAGTTTCTAATGAAAGACTATCTCTGGCAGAGACTGAAAATGAGAAAGATGAATTAATGGTGTTTTTAAGATGATATTTACATTTCATTAATAATATCAAGTTTCATAGTTTAAGGTAGGCATTTATATGCAAACCAAATCCTTGTTCTTATCTAAAAAGTTTGAAGACAGTGTGAGGAACTTTCATGCCGTCAGAGGAGGGAGGAAAAAGAAAGGGAAGAAAAGCAATATAGATTATGATTAGGTCTCCTAACCTCAATAGGTCCTAGAAATATTCAATGTATAGTCTCCTTAGAGAAACACATATTTGAAGCATGATTTAAAGCAGAAATAGGGGTGGGGTCCTAAAGAGATTATTTTTTGTTTTCTTAAAACATTGGGACAAAAGGGAAAATATTTCAGCTGGGCTATATAACCTTATAAATGTAGTATAAATGTTGAATCAGTGTTCATTTTTAAAATTTGTCTACAGTTGGGTTGTATTTGTTTTAATACTGTTAGAACCTCACCTGATAATTCCTGTCTATGCATTTTAGGTGTATCAATATTCAGTTTGAAAGAGATTCAGTTGCAAAAGGACCCGGGTTTTCGAAATTCTTCTTATCCAGAGACAGGTGTGTTTGTCATAAACCATTTCACGTGTCGATCATGAAATTTTGCATGGAACCAACTTTTTAGTTTACAAATTGATCAGTAAAATTATTGCTGTAAAAACCAATGTACAGTGCATTCCACAACTGTGTATGTTTAGCATTGCACATTCTCACTTTTCTGTATGATGTGGGCAGCTCAGTAATTCTTCAGAGAGAAATCTGACTCAGACAAGTCAGGGATCCTGAAAGCTGCAGAAGGCACAGAGACCTTTTACAAGTGGCCTGGCTTGATTGCTGCACATGGCATCCCTGGTACCTGAGGCAGAAGACACATCTTGTGCTTCCATAGTCATCAGGTTCATCACTTCGAAGCATAGAAGCTGTAGACTGACCCCATCGACAAAAGGGTCATTTAAGACAGTATTAATCACTGTTACCATGGAAAATTAGCTTTGCTGGTGGGAAAATTAGCATCTTAGAGTCACCAAATACTGTATGTGGGATAAAATTGAACCTCGAACTGCCTCATAAAATGACTTTATATTTTAGGACATGGGAAGAACAGAAGACAGAGCATGCTCTTTTAAGTCTGATAACATGGTTTCAAGCCCAGCCCCCCAGCCTTTCTTATCAATCAAGGACTCAGATCTGAAGGCAATTATTTCTTTTGGTGGACTTGGAATCTCCGTTTGTCTACACTGTCCTCTTCACAGTGGAGTCTTTTTATTTCAGACCTACAGATTGTTTTTATATTTGTTGTCACAGTGTGACAATTTTTTTGTACAGTTGGTTTTAAGGTCTTCTCTGCCATTAGAGCCAGTAGGTTACAGCTATTGATGTAACTGTAGCTGCAATTTTTGTGCAGGACTGAAACACAGTGCATTATTTATTGCGGAATCATTGCTGCTAAATAACTACTGTCTGTTTATTTAACACAACAGTTGAATGCCTGAAGAAGTTGCAGTGGCTTTATTATGTGAATGCATCTGTTTCTCCTCATGAATTGTTTTACTGCTGCATTTTTGTTTGTTTTTAAAATTAAACTGCGGTGTTTTCTGGAATGTAGATTCAGCTTTGCTTAACAGTAAAATAAGTGAGCCATCTTGAACACTTAAGTTCATGCTGTATAATCTATATAATTTTTTTATTGAACATTGGCAAATAGAGTAGCTAAGAAATTGGTAAGCACATTATGTTTTGGAAAACATGTGATGCAGAAGTTGATCCAAGCAAATGAACAGCTGACATTTTGGGGATCTCACATTAGATACCAGAAAATTAAAGCACCAAAATTATTTATTTTTACCTTTCCTCATTTTAGAAATATTTACTGCATATTATTGGATATTTTTTACTAATACACTCATCTATTTTACATCGTGCTTTCTTTTAGTTCAGGCAAAACCATATAAGTCCAAACATGAGCGGTCTTGTTTGTTTTAAATACAATTCTTTTATTAGAAAGGATGATATATCATTGAGGAACAATTTATTTTATTTGGGGGTTGTCTGTATGTGTGTGTTTTAATAACATTCGCTTGGAATCAGCTGAAAGCTGTAATATGTCTTTGAAATGAGCCATGATAAATACAAATGAAAGAAGAGAGAGTTAAGAGGATTGTTTTAAAGCATTGTAGATATTATCTTTTTACCAGATACAAAATTACAGTTTAAATTATGCATCTCTGAACATCATAAACACAACTTGGTGTTGGTAACAATGTTCTAAGCATTTGGGTTAACTTTTAGGGCTCTTTGTTTAATGCATCTTACAAACTACAAATCTTAATTGGTATATTTTGAGATGGTCATGTAAATTTTTGGCTTATATATCATGAAAATAGTCATAACTTAAGTTTCTTCCTGACATTCATTCACTGTAAAACATTCAGGGGTCCTACCATTTCTGTTCAGGAAATCTTATTGTTATTTAACAGTATTAAGTGAATTTTTGTATATTTCATTTTAACTTTATTTGTGAATAGTGATTGTGGCATGTTTAGGGTGTTATTTTAATATTTCATGATAGTGAAATTTTAATTTTTAAAAAAAATTTCTGGAAGAAACAGATTTATGTGTAATGGTGAATATTGGACCACTACTGCTTTTCACGTTTGTAAATAAGTTTTATGTTAAACCCTGTAGCCTAACAAACTGCTGTTATTTCTAACTGACAGACATGTATTACTTTGAAGGTTATAAATATTATGTGAAATTCCTCCCTTTTGTTTTGAAATTTATAATAACAAAATCTTCATGTTGTTAAGATGCTGGTTTTGTTGTCACAGTTCTTTCTGGGGGGAAAAGGCTATGGTGTAGGCGGGGATCATTTTCTTTTATGGGATTCATTCTTAAGGCAATGAAGTCTCATTGTGTGGTAATATTTATATCTGTGCTGGTCAAACTACAGTAATCTCCACTGTAGTTTTATAGGATAGCACTCAATTATAATGTGTCATACATTGTATTTCAGGGGTTATATAATTTGATTTGTTGCAAATTTGACATTCATGAGTTTGATTCTTGCATATAAAAAGTGAAGAAATATAGTTATGTAAAATTCTTCTTCCTAGGAAGTCTTAGGATTGTTTATTTTATTAAGGAATTTTGGTGGGAGTTTTTGTTTGCTTATTTGTTTTGTACATAGGGGAGTTGTGTGTTTTTTTATACTTGAGTACCATTCAGATCCTGGAAACTCTTCAGTGAAGAGAATTGAAACTCAGAATTTTTTTTTGAAATTTTATTGAATTTATTGGGGTGACATCATATATAATCCTATATGATAAAAGATTATATGCAAATAGACCGAATGGCAGAACAACCAAACAATCAAAGCATAATTATGCTAATTATATGCTAAGTTTGCTCAGTCGCTCGCTATGACATGAACTGACCACCAGCAGATGCTCTGACCTGTAGGTTAGCTTGCCACTGGGGTCTGGCTGATAAGGACTGAGCGAGATGGGCTGGACATGCCCTAGAGCCCTCCTGTGGGCCCTTCCTGGCCTGATTGTGCACTGGCCTGCACCCTCTTGCAATCCGAGACCTCTCGGGAGATGTCAGAGAGCACGTTTCAGCCCGATCCCGCTGGCCACTCCTCTTGGGAGGGCACCAGATGCAGGGCTCATGGCTGGGAAGCACTGCTGTGGTAGCACGAGTCTCTCCCAATCAGAACTGATTGGCCAGGAGCCCGCGGCAGGCACAGCGGGGCTGGGACGAGCGGGAGCGGCAGGTGGGAGCTGCAGGCAGTGTTGGACTGCAGGCTTTGGCCTGATCCCTGCGGGCCACTCAGAGGGGCCCCACCTGTGCACAAATTCATACACTGGGCCCCTAGTTGGTAAATAAAATTATATAGGTTTCAAGTGTACAGTCCTAAAAATATTACCTGTATATTGTATTGTGTGTTCACCACCCAAAGTCAGGTTTCCTTCCATCACCATTTATCTCCCCTTTACCCTCTTCTGTCTCCCCTACCTCCTTTCCCTCTGGTGATCACCAAGTCGTTGAGATTTATTTGTTTAATCCCTTCACCTTTTTCCCCAGTCTCCCATCTCCCTCCTCCCCCCAACATTTGTCAGTCTGTTCTCTGTAAGTCTGTTTCTATTTTGTTAGTTTATTATATTTCACATGTAAATGAAATATGGTATTTGTCTCTCTCTGACTGACTGACTTGACTTAGCATAATGCTCTCCAGGTCCCTGCATGCTATTGGAAAAGGTAAGATTTTCTTCTTTTTCACAGTTGAATAGTATTCTGTTGTGTAAATGCACTAGTTTTTTAATCCACTCATCTACTGATGGTTACTTGGGGCTGCTTCCAAATCTTGGCTATTTATACTAATAATAGAGGAATATGCAAATTGTCTGGGACATTGTCATGCAATGATCAATCAAGCCAGGGGTGGGGCTGCAGCTGAGAACTCTTAGCAGGCTTGCACAGGGGTCTGAAGGGTTGTGGAGAGGAAGGGAGAGCAGATAGGCAGTTAGGGGGATTAGGCTGGCAGTGGAGAGCAGATAAGCAGTTATGGGGGATTAGGCTGGCAGGGGAGCCCAGATAGGCAGTTAGGGGGATCAGGGCGGGAGGGGGGGGAGAGTGCAGATAGGTAGTTAGCGGGATCAGGCCAGCAGCAGAGAGCAGATAGGCAGTTAGGGAGATCATGCCAGCAGGGGAGAGCAGTTAGGGGGATCAGGCAGGCAGGCAGGTGAGTGTTTAGGAGCCAGTGGTTCTAGATTGCGAGAGGGATCCTGGATTGGAGAGACAACCCCCCTTTTACGCCCCCCGTGCATGAATTTCGTGCACCTGGCCTCTAGTTGTAAATAACACTGAGATGAACATAAAGATGCATCTATTCTTTCGAATTAGTATTTTGAGTTTCTTCAGATATAGTTCCAGAAATTGCTGGGTCATAAGGCAGTTCCTTTATTAAATTTTTGGAAACTCAGAAATTTTGAATCTTGAACACTTATTATTTATCTTAAATTGACAAGGTTCTTAAAGATGAAACAGGGTTACTTTTGTTTTTCTTCCAAGTGATGATGTTTTCTGGAATATAAACTCAATGAATATGTCACTTTATATAGAAGTTGCTGCATTTTTATTGGTGCTTTATCAGGTTATGTTTGAAAGTCTTAACATGTTCTAAGTCTTTTGGATTCAAGATAATTTATGAAGATTTTTTGGAGTGTTTTTTAATATTTTTTTAATAGTGGTAAAATACATATAACAAAAATTTGCTATTTTTACCCATTATAAATAGGCAATTAATGGCATTAATTAGATTCACAATGATTACTATTTCCAGAATTCTTATCACTCCAAACAAAAGCTCTGTATCCATTAAATATGCCCTCATTTTTCCCATACCCCAAATCCTACTAACCTCAAATACACTTTTTGTTTCTGAATTTGCATATTCTATATATTTCATCAAAGTGGAATCATATTGTATTTATACTTTTGTGTCTGACCTGTTTCACTTAGCATAATGTTTTCAAGGTTTAATGATGTAGCACGTCAGAAATTCTTTTTACATGGCTGAATAATATTGTGATAGGAATATATGACATTTTGTTTATCCATTCATCTGTTGATGGACCTTGGTTTTTCCCCTCCTTTTGGTTATTGTGAATAATGCTGCTGTGGACATTGGAAGCTTTTGTTGAGTCCTTGTTTAACAAATTCTTTTGAGTTTATATACTTAGGATTCGAATTGTTTGGTTGTTTAGTAAAGCTATGTTTAACTTTTTGAGGAACTGCACTATTTTACATTCCCAGTTGTAATGTGAGAGTTCCAATTTCTCCTCATCAATCGCCAACACTTGTTGTTATTATATTCATTCTAATGGAAACGTGGTTTTGTTTTTCATTTCCCTAGTAACTATGGATGTTGAGCATCTTTTCATCTGTCATTTGTGTAGCTGCTTTGAAGGAAAATTATTCAAGTACTTGGCCCATTTTTAAAATTGTGTCACCTTTTTGTTGTAGAGTTGTAGTTTTTTGTATAGTCTACATATTAGACTCTTCTGAGGCATATGATTTGCGTTTTTTTTTTCCATCTGTGGATTGTCTTTCACTCTCTTAATGGTGTCATTTTGATGTGTAAAAGTTTTAATCCTAATGAAGTCCAGTATATCTATTTTTCTTTTGTTGCCTCTGCTTTTGGTGGCATGTTTGAAAAACTATTGCCAAATCCAAGGTCATGAATATTTTCCTGGTTAAGAGTTTTATACTGCTACTGCTTACATTTAGAGTGCTAATCCATTTTGAATTAATTTTTGTATATGATGTCAAGTGAAAGCCCAACTTATCTTCTGCATGTGAATACCTAGTTTTCCCAGCACTATTTGTTAACAAGACTGTCCTTTTCTCTCTGGTCTTGGCACTCTTGTTGAAAATCAATTGATCATAGATGAGAGGGTTTATTTTGGCTTTCTTTATTCTATTCTGTTGCTCTAAATCTATGTCCTTTTCCTATACAGTGTTTTGATTACTTGTGGTTTTGTAAATTTTGAAATTAAGAAGTGTGAGTCGTTTTTGTTTATACAAGTATTGTTTTGACTCTTGACGTCCCTTGAAATTCTATATGAATTTTAGGATGAAATTATTCTGGAAAAAGAAAATGTCATTGAGATTGTAATAGGAGTTGCATTGAATCTGCAGGTCACTTTGGATAGTATTGTGTGTGTTCTTAACAATGTTGTCTTCTAATACATGAACATAGGAAATCTTTAATTTCTTGTAGCAATGTTTCAGTTTTCAGTGTACAAGTCTTGTGCTATCTTGACTAAATTTATTCATTATTATATTTGATACTGTAGCTAGAATAGTTTTCTTAAAATTTTTCAGTTTTTTTGTTGCTAGTATGTAGAAATATAAATTATTTTTACATGTTGATTTTGTATCCTACAATTTTGCTCAGTTTATTTGCTCTTTTCTTTGGTAGATTCTTTAGGGTTTTTACATATATCATAACATCTGTAAGTAGTTTTATTTCTTCATTTTTCATTTGGATGTCTTTTTGTTCCTTTCTCTTCCATCTTTCCTCCCATCAGGCTAGGACTTGCAGTATTATACTGAATAAAAATGGCAACCAAGGATACCCTTATCTTGTTCCTAATATTAGGGGAAAAGATTTCAATCTTTAACCACTGAGTTTGATACTAGTTGTAGCTAAAAGAATAAAGGGTAATTTTTCCTCCTCCACCATCTCAATATAGGACAGTTGATAGAACTTAAGATTTTAAAGATCAGAGGACATTTTTTAAACCCATTTCCTTCTCTCCAATTCATTTTCAATAATTTTTGTTTCCTTAAGTATCTGTTCAAAGCAGATTACATATACATAACATGTTTTGGTAATAATATACCACATTTAAGGCTAGCTGACAAGACTCGTTTTCTAACATGTACTCATATGGAAAAGTGAAATTTGGATTATCCCAAGTAAATGGAAGTAAATTGACCCACTTGCCTTTTATCACAAAGTATTTATTGAACAAAAATAATATAACAGTAAAAATGATACATATATGAAAGGGAATGAAGATTTGCAGTCAGAGAAATGATGTATACAAAGAGACCAATGTTTAGATTATAGTTCTATAAAACTTTAGCCTTAGCAATTTAACACTGATAAAGCAGACATATAAAAAGGAAGAAAAAAATTAATATGTTCTGTGAAATCTATTATCTGACTAAAATAGTTGATTTAAAAAAAAACACACACATACACATATCACACACACATAGAATGAGGCAGAGCAATAACGGTTATACTTCAATAACTCTAGTTCTCTATTTGTGTTACAGTAAGTTTTTGATCCATCACAAATTACTGCATTTTTTCCATTTCCAATAAATGGAGCTAGGTTGTATGTTAATCATATTATTTGGAAGAAGGGAATACAAGAATCAGAGATACAGTCATTTGAATGTTCCAATCAGTATTTACATTTGAAAATATTTTGTTTGTGTTATTTGTACACGGGACATCCTTTTTAGTTTCTCTAAGACACTTGCATTTGGAGTGCATCCTTCTCTTACCTGACAATTTTTTAATGCTATCTGGTTTTTTTTTTTGCCTAACATATTTTTGGATTGGTAGTTACTTACAGCTAAGAAGGGAAGCAGAACTGGCCTAGGCACCAGTCACTGTTCTACCTTCGATGAGCTCTTTGGCCTTATACAGCTTCTCCTGTGCAACTGTCTGCATCTGGAAACCTGGGTAGGACACATTCTCAGTAAATATCAGCTGGGTTAGCTATTTTTACAGAATTATCCTTAGCCCGTGACAGTTGTGTCTGTTTGTGGATTCTGGAATCAACCCCATTATTTTATTTTCAAAGATGCATATTGGAATGTTTGGGGTTTTCCTCCAAATAAGGGCATATATCCCTCACAGAGAGATGCCTAATTCCAATTGGAAATCTCAACATTTATAACAAAATTTTAGATTTTTTTGAAAATCCAAGAATTTTTTTTTACAAGCTTGATTTATTTATCCCTGCTATTTAATGCCTGGTTTGGAGCAATTAATTATTTAGCCACATGTCAAATTGGTTTCTGTTACTTATAGCTAAGGATGATAATTAATCTGATCTTGAATTGCAAGCACTGGGCACTTTCCAGTTCTCTTACCATTAGAACTTTCATAATGCACAGAAAGATGCCTTAGATGGGTGCCTGACTTTTTTGAAGGAACAGAAAATACATTCCTATCGTCCCTGCTCTAAACTCCACTACACAAAAGAATTACTGTTGAGTGTTCCAAATTGTTACATAATCAATACATTATTGATGAGGTTTCTGAAGAATCTTATATTTGTTGCATCAGGTTTCCTTCATTCTTACCCTAAAGTCAGTAATAACCTCTCAGTTTCCACAAACGAGGCTATACCCATACACCTGAAGATACTTGGTATTACAAGATTGTTTCTTCATTGTTTTCATCACGAGTCTGTGAGCTTCTTTCAAAGCATAGGATTTTTAAATGTTAATAGTTCAAGGGGTTTAGAGAAACCTTTAACTCATAATGATACAGGAAATGTTTTGGAGGGGTGTGATTCTTTATGGAAAAGAGGGAGAACCAGGGCTAATTTCTTGAACTAAGAATATGCTAACCTAGAAAGTACTCCAGGGGGATGGACAGAATAAACTTGCAGCTTTTTCATCAAGTGGTTTTGTTTGGGAGGAGTCTGAAAGATTGTAAACAGCTGGTGAACAGCTGGGAGGCTAGCCTTTCAAAATTCCTTTCTTTAAAAATGCACTTTCGAACATATTCTTTCATGAATGTTTATTGTCTAAATATGGCTTAGTTTCTTCTTATAAAAACATTACTTGGACATTACATTTATTGAATTTCAGTTCAAAAGAGGCTCTAAGGCAATTTTTATAATTGAAAGCAAAAGAGAAAAAGTAATATGAATATGCTTTCATATTGCCTACTTGTGAAAAATAATAAAATTCTACAAGAGAGCTGTTTGATACTAATCTTTGTCTTTCAAACATTTTCTCTAAAAAATATATAAATCATTTACATTAAACTAAATGCAAGGGAAGGCACAGCTGGTTATAGTGTATATAAGCGCAGTTCAACATATGCAGAATTAAAGCGAAAAAGCTTCACATCCTTATTAGTTACACTGAAAGCCATTAAGAAAAGTTCTTCACTGTCAACAGTGTTCAACACTTAAAAGCTAAGAGGATATAAAAACAAAAAACATTAAAATTCACTTAATGCAAAACAGATTTTCATATATACTTGAATATAAAAAAAAGTCTTAAAAATGCTAACATATATCTAGACCATCCATGTTATGAAAAGTGCAAACCAAATTAACAGGGTTTCACAAAGTCCTTCTCATGACACAGGTAAACTAGCCCCTGGGGACAAATTTGCTTCTTCAGTGAATGAGTCTTTCATTGTGGCCGGATGTCATCAGGACTTCTGAGAGGTCGAAGAAAGCAGTATTGGAGAAGCAGCTCGGTCCAGGCTGGGGATTGGCACTGGCATGTGGCCATTGAGCAGTGTTGGGAACTGGAGGGGACAAAACATTTTGTCAACAATTACAAGTCTATTGTGAAGAACTTGTTCTTTACATCCTAGATAACTGTAGTGTCTCAGTTCTGTCATCACCACTCTGATACAGGTAAGTTGGAAATGAGTAATTGGAAGAGGACAGTGAGATCAGGATTATGTACAGCAAACAAGGGCACAGAATATTTTTTCATAGTAGCCTAGACATATAAAATAGGTACTTCATTTGTTGAATTATGTTCTAACACTGGTTGGTCTTTTTTTTTTAATTCCAAGCTACTGCCCTAGCCAGTTTGGTTCAGTGGTTGGAACACTAGCCCATGGACTGAAGGATCCTGGGTTCCATTCTGATCAAGGGCACGTAACTCTGTTGCAGACTCGATCCTCAGCCCTGGTTGGGGCACATGTGGGAGGCAACCAATTGATGTGTTCCTCTCTGTATGTCTCTCCCTCCCATTCTATCTAAAAGTCAATGGGTGAGGATTAACAACAAAAAGATTCCAAGCTACATAGAGAAAAATTAATTTTCAAAACCACAATTGGCTCTTTACATAGAAAGCAGTAATTTCTAATACTGTAATTTGAAATTAGCCATAAATTTTCCAGAGTACTACAAAGTTGCTTTCCTCTATTAAAAAATGAGGAATGTTTTTAATCTTAAGAGATTTAGAGAGCAAGAATATCTTGATTTGGGGGCTGAGAAAGTATTCTTTCTAATTAAAAGCATAATATCAAACTTCACAATGAGGCCACCCATGCATGATGAAACTTAATAAAGTTAATTTCAGTATTACTGGTAATTAAGATGACAAACAGGATAAAGGTATATATGCTTTGATAACTTTCAGGTCTGAAAGAAGTTTAACAGCTATATTCCAACTGGACAAGAATAATTAAAGGCCTTGATTAGATATTCATTGTCTAGGATGATATGTGTCAGAATGACCTCCCGAACCCTCTTCTAGTTTAATTTATCTAGACTTAATAGGAATTTAATATTAAACTTCACTAAATTTTAAACTACAGAGTCCGGTACACATTAGAAGTACAATAAATATTTGCAGAACAAGTAAACATTTTTGTAATTTTCAAGTATTTTAGTGAATGTGTCTGGTGCCTTACAGTTTATCAATGGTTGTCATTTTATTCGCGATCTAGAGACTGTAAGGTACATTTGGTTTTCCCCGTTTTATAAAGGAGAAAACAGAGTTCAGATTTACAGTGAAGAAAACAGAGTTCAGATAAGTTCAGGGTTGGCTAAAGGTCATAGGTAATAAGCAGAAAGGCTAAGTTTTAAACTGCTTTCTATGCCAAATCACCCAATTTGGTTTTTTGTGGGGCTTGAGGAGGGGGATATTGTTTAATTACTGTTTCAATTTCTCTAATGGTTATTAGCGTATATAGGTTTTTGTTTTCTGACACTTTGGATTTTGGGTGGGTTTTTTTTTTTATATATAGAATTTTATCCATTTCAGCCGGGTTATAAAATCTACTTGCACATCTGTGTTCCTAACCTCTGATCCCATTGACCTAGAGCAGCGATTTTCAACCTTGTTCATCTCATGACACATAAACTAAATCAGTAAAATTCTGTGGTACTCCAAAAAAAATATATACAGTTTTGATTCATTCACACAGGACGGCTACTGCTGTATTGGCTCATTTCATTTTTTTATTTGACAACGTAAGGGAAAAGAGGTCACTGCCTGCCCCTCACTAGCCACGTCTTGATGCTTTAAAAATTCTTGCATCATAATGGTTGAGAATTGCTGAGTCAGATAAACATTGGAGAAAGAGCAGGTTGTGAATTTTCATTTTCATTTATTTGTACCTCTCAGTGGTTCTGTCCATCTTACTGCTGTTTTCAAAAGAGTCAGCTTTTGGGTTAGTCTCTTTTTAAAAATATATTAGTGATTTCTGCCCTTTTTTATTTCTATACGCTCAGTTGTCACAGTTTCTCTTGGTTAGCCTGCCTTTTGTGGCATGTGTCATAGTCATCTTGATTGGCGCTAAACCCTTTTCTTAAATTTGCAACATTCCTCAAACTTTTCTTTTATACTGGACTTAGCAGTCATTTCCTGTTGTTAGAAATACCACCAATGTCTCTTCCCCACAAAACTTGCTCTTCTGTGTGTGTTTTTAAGTCTGTGAGGATGGTGGTTATGAGTAGTACAACCCTAAACTTAAGAGCTTTGCCACTTAATAACATGTGATCTCAGTAAATGGAAGCAACATCTCTGGGCCTTAGTTTCTTTAAATATTACTATTTTGAGTATTAAATGAGAAGCCACAAAAAGTGCTTATGTCTGATATACAGTACATGTTAACTACTGTTATTAATAGCTCTTCCAGTTTTTTAATCACTTAATGACCTTTCTAGGGATTGTCTACCTCAGCTTTAAAAGCCTTCCATTATCACTTAAGAAATTAAGGTAGGAGCTCCTGAGCATACTATTCAAGTCCCACGGCTGCTTTTCCAATCTTGACTCCTACTACCCAGTATTTTCCTGAACAGACTGTACTGTACTTCCATATTCAAAAGCTCTATTAATCTAAAGTGTGTTTTACTCTTTGATAAAATCCAATCCCTTCTTAGCTTAGCTTAGGTGCACTGCCTTGGAGCATTTGTCCACTGCCCACCAGGAAAGAGCTATTATTGTTGGGTTCTTATAGAACTTTGTTTACATATCTATTATTCACATACTTATCAACTCAAGTCCCTTCCTCAGAGCATTACAAATATTTGCTGGGTTAGATTTATTGAATTTAAAAATTACAGAAAGATTATTCTCAGTGAAAAGTTAAATTAGCTTCATCTCGTCTCAAGATCTATCTGTACTTAGTAGGCTTGGTCCAAATTTGATCGTCTGTTTCAAAAATGGAACAGATATCCTACAGACAAACTTAAAATGCTAAGCTGTCCAGTTGAAACTGATGGCACTTTATTTGTAAATCAGGGTTGTATTTTTATATTTAATACAATATGTCTTTGTCCTCTCTAAGTCATGTCTGGATTACAAAGCATGCCTCTCTCAGGAAGGGAGATACCTCTCTCCTTCCCCTCATTTCTTCAGTATCTGCTCTATCAGTTCTACCAGGGGACCTTCTGTGCAAAGACTTATCAGCTCTGTCACCGTCACTCTACGGATTCTGATCTCCTTTCTAATCATCACAGCAGGACATTTGCCAGTGCCATTTAAGACTTACTGTATTTTTTTCTTCATCCTCCTACGCATTTATAGCATATGTGAAAGAGGCTTGTTATTTTTTAAAGAAAATTATTTCCATTAGTTGAAAAGAGATCCTGTTGATCCTCATAGGAATTTTGAAAATCTATCATTTGAAGTATCTAATTTTAAAAATCAGAAAGTACAGGGAGCATTTGAGATCTTGCTCCCTGGCATATGTCATCAGTTTGGCTCAAACTCTTAGGAAAATTTTCCCCCAAAATATTTTTCCTCTTACTATGCTTTGTTGTTTACTATTTTCAAAACTGCTAATGTCAACTTTTACCACACTCAACTGCTCTTATTATAGGAAGAGTAATAATATTTGAAAAGATTTTTCCTTCGTCTCATGGACCCAAGCCAAAAAGAGGGACCAAGGCCCTGTTGGCCATCCAGTCATGGTTGCATGAGTTGTACAGGGGTGGGCAAAAGTAGGTTTACAGTGTGTATGGAAAATAATGAGTCAATACTAATACAAAAATAAACTCCCGTGTATTCACAACTGTAAATGTACTTTTGCCCCATGCATTTTGAATAGCTGCAGGAGAGTGGACAGGTGCATTTTGTAAAATTGAAATTGTGAGCAGGTAGCCTTAAAATGCAGCGGTTTCTTTTGCAGAATTCTAAATGTAAATAGGGAACGACTGGCTTGCAGTGTTTCTCAAAGTGTGGCTCCTGGAGCAGCAGATAGGCTGACAATGCACAAAATCATCGAGGACACTACCCATGGATACTGTGAGGAGTATGGGCTAGAAAAGGTTTAGTATCTAAGGCGAGGTATGCCAAAGAACTCCCAAGTAATGTGGTAAAGGTTGACATTAGCAGTTTCCCATGGCTTCCCTGAGAGGTCACCGCGCCCTACACCAACCAGGTGGCAGACTTTCCAGTAAGGAGAGAAGTGGATCCCTTACATATACTGAGTCCCACAGAGGCCCTGCGTCAGTCTTGGATGAGAGCAGTGCTGCAGCCCGTGCTGCCATTGGGGGAAAGGGGGGCGGGGGGCACTGCACCTATCACCACGCAGCTCCCTTCTGCTCTATGCTGGAGCTCCTACCCTAGACCTGCTGCTCTGCAGGCTTGAGGGAAGTTAAGGTCTTAGCTTTCCATCAAGTTGCATCTAAACGGTTACTGAAACTACATTTGCTCACTGCTGTTTGCTTGCTGTTTCTGGTTGGTTTCCCTGCCTGAGGTAGAATGGCTATGAATCAACCTGTTGGCAAAACCGTAGCTCGATTTCATGTAACGGGAAGAAGGGCCAGGAGGAGAAACCTTATTACTCCAGGGATACAGTGATATCGTGACACCCTACCTCCTACCTACTAGGAAACCAGAGAAGCGAGATAGCAATCAAAACCGCCCTAGCCCCACCCTTCCTCCGAGAACACCCTAAATCCCACCATGTATAGCTCCTTCCTTGTACAAGAGGAGGTAACTATTAACCCTGATAAGCAACATGTCCCACTCAACAAAACAAGGAGACCTGACCTTTTTAACACGTAACTTTCTTGACAAAATCTTAGGCAACCATCCATTCAGTCAATCAATCAGTGATAATTACTGAGCATTGTTTGCGTGCCAGGCAATGCGCTAGATGCTGATGGCACTCCATGGCAAACAAGGTGCAGTTCTGGCCTCCTGAGGGCCCACAGTCTGTCATAGTGCAAACTGGTGAGTGCCAGATGCAACACGATCAGAAGAGCTTTAGTTGACGTTGGGTGAGCCACAGTGGGGGGCAGGTAAGCGGTGCAGGTGCAGGGTGGATGAGACGGGTGAGGCTAGGATCAGGCAAAGAGGGAGCTGGCACTTTATCCAGTTTGCTCCATTTCTATCCCCAGAATCCTTTCTGTTCTACACTCACATATTCAAACAGTAACATCTTGGTCAGTGAGGAACAGTCTGGATCTCAGAGAGGAAATAGTGATTTCCACTTGATAACAAGTGATGCTACTGCAAGATCCTAGTTCGTTCATGAATAATGAATGTGCTTACCTAGTTCAGGGAGTTTCGCCAGATAAAGCCCTAAGACTTAGTTTTAATCAAATGCCTGCATACTCCCTTTTTTTTTTTTTTTTTTTTTACAATGGAACAAGGAGAACTTGATTATGTTGTATCATGGAGTTACACAGATAACTTTTCTATTACAGCATGGAAAAATTGTTGACTATTTTTTATTTTAAGTGATCTCACTGTTGACTGATACACTGATATTTTTAAGTATTATGAGATTTTTATATCATTTTTTAAAGTCTTGCGTTTCCCTTAATAAAGTTCCAGTTTTCATGGTCAATGAAAATTCCAGAACACTTCCCGAAGGCACCCTTCCTCCTATTTGAGGACTCCATTATGCCTGCCTTTGAAGGCTGTCTTTTGTGCGCAGCTCCATTAAGGAAACCCCCTTTGGAGACTTAACATTTTAACCAAACACAGGGCAGAACCCACTGCTGCCTCTGCAGGGCTTATGGGGGAACACCCCCCTGAGACGTGCACGGAGTAGAAGGTCATTTCCCAGCACTCACCTGGAACAGCGTGTTCGGCCCCTGCAGCCGGGCGGGACTCAGTGGAGCAACGGGACTAAGGCTGCTCCAGAAGTGTATGCTGGAGAGCAGTGGGCTCGGGGTCAGGAGCAATCCATTTGGTGTCTGAGAAAGCAAGCACAGAGACGGTTTTGGGTGCAGGTGTCGCCAGACTTCTTCCGGCAGGGCGGCTAGGTGCGCCAGCCAGGAACCAGACACAAGCCTCACCGCCTTAGAAAACCTGACCACTCTTATTTCTGCATGGCTGTGCACTGTTTACTTCTCATTTTCTTTCATGCCAATGGGCTTAGCAATTCTTAAAAGGGAGGTATGGACAAGTTACCTCCCCTTAAACATTCTAGTGGAAAACAAGTTTGTAGCAACTTTTGTCCGTATTCAGTTTGCCCCCGCCCCCAATATTAAACCAGATTTAGTGTACAACCAAACAGGATCCCATTTCAGACTCTCATTTCTTATCTATATTTTCGTAGTTTTCTACAGTGGACATCCTTTATTTGGGTTACAAACATATTTTTAAAAGGGCCTCCCAAGCTTTTTTTTCCCTATCCATGGCCTTAGTACTTTAGAATTTGCTGCTAAAATACCCTTTACCAGCTTCTTCAAAAGCTCTGAACTGGGTTTTCCAGATTCCACTCCGGATTCCGGATGTGGGGCTGATGAGAATTAGTCTCCCAGGCAATGGTTTGGGGGCGGGGGAGAGAGGGGAGACTGGGCAGGGGCGGGGATCCTTTCTTGGCAGTTTGGGTGTGAAGCCAAAACTCTGGGTTTCCCAGCAAGTGCCAAGGGCTGCATTTGCTTGCGCACACACAGCAGAAGGCCTGCCTGCCCGCCCGCCAGCCAGAGGGCAGAGAAACCTGCGAGCTGTGAGTGCTGGCATGGATTCTCGAAGGCGAACTCCTGGCCCGGGGTGGTTCTGCGCTGTGGGTGACGGTGATGTCAGTAGTGCTTTGTGTAAGCACCGCGGCAAAGGCAGCGCAGCTCGGATTGCATCATGCTGGATGTTACAGTGTTGTTTTTTCCTAGAACTGGCCTGAGCAGCTTTGTTCATTATCTGGAGCATTTGGCTTAAGCCAAAGTTCAAGTTCTGCTCTGCTCAGTGCGCTGGATTCAGACACTCAAAGTTCTCAGACTGAAGCTGCTGAAAGGCACACTAATTTATACCAAATTACTTGAATCTGGTTCCACGGCACTTCCTACAGATGGAATGAGCTGCCCGGTTCCTGGGATAAATACCTGTTTTTGGATAAGCTTCCCATTTGTTCTAATCCGAGGCAATGTCACGAGTGCGCCAGGCCATCTGGCCTGACGGTTAAGACGCCATAATTCCCCATGAGTTCTGCCAGGCTTACCGCCGCTTAGTAGCCAGGGAACTGCTCTCCGCCTCCGTTTCCTACTCTTTAAAGTGGGGAGGATTACAGCTCTTCATACGTTCCTGGCACAGCAAATGTTCAACAGGTAGTAAAGACTGCTGTCCTTGGTGATTAATTAAGTCTAGCTGACACACTTACTAAATGTATTTCACCTATTCCTGGGAGACACTCTCCGCTGTATATAGAAAAGTACTTAATGTTCCACAACAGACAAGCCAGTCTCGTCGGCGGGTGCTTGACGGCTCGGCTCGGCTCCTCTCCGTCCTGAGAGACTCCCATCCGCAGGCTCAGGTGGCTTAAGAACTGTTTGCGTGTCACTTGAGAGCCAGGTTCCAGCCACGTTAACATTTAATAACCAGTATGTCCAGAGCCGCCTCACTTACCCGCCAATGAAGATCTCTAAGTTCTAAAGAGACGGAGAGCCTTCTGAATTACAAAGCCTACCCATCTTTCATCCATGGCCACAAATGCACACCCATCCATTTTTAATCCTTTGACTATATACGAAGTAGCATCTGTATTTTCATAGTCCAAAATGTGTACCGACGTCAGGATTTGAGATGTTTGCACGTACATCCTAGCTGTTTTTCTAAGTGTTAACGGAATGTATTGAGAATACAGTAGCTAGCCCCGTGGCCACTTTCAGTGCTGGCACCCCACCCTTCTCCCCCTCCTGTCAGCCTTGGCCACCTTATACCCATGCTGGGGGCAGAGCCGACCCTGCTGGAAGGTGAAGGGATGTCAAGTGCTGAGACGCCATCGCCCAAAGGCAGCCCTCGGCTCCCCTGACCCTGTGCAGAGCCCCAGTATGTGGTGTGCTTCCTTCACACCCCTGCCCCACCCACAGGCCCTTTCAGCCCAGGCCCCGCCTCCACTCCTGTCCTGGTTCAGACCTGGCCCTCTGCCTCCACCCACCCTCCGGGAAGCCCTGGTCCCTCTTCTGGGACTCCTGCTGCTCACTCACACTTCACAGCGCGAGCCCTCACAAGTTGGCCGAGGACTGCTCACTCCCATCTGCCCTCGACACGGGTCACCTGGCTTTCCTACGCTTTCCTGCCCTGGTTTTAAGCCATTTCTAGCATCTCTCTCCCCATCCTGAGCTTTGCATCCACCGTCTGCCCCCTCTCAAGTCCAGGCCTTCTCCCCCTCTCCCCAGTCCAGCCAGACCAGCCTTCATCCCACTGAGTGGAGCCCCCCTACATTCAGTGTCCAGGCCCAAAACCACGGGGCTCGCCTGAGCCGATTCCTTCCGAGATGACCGCTGGGCTGGCAGCCGGCCCAGGCTGGTCAGAGACGGTGAACAGGCGCTCAGGAAAGCAGATACTGAAATCAGAGTTGGCCTTGGCCTGGCTGGAGGCCTCTCTAAACCTTACATTGTAAACACAAAGTTGGCCAGGGGAGGGGATCTCTAGATTGTCCACCCTGCCCCGCTTCTCACATTACTTCTCGGAGCTACTTCAGGCCACTGTTTCCGAGGCATTCACTCAGCAGTCCTTAGCCACCGGACAGTTTTGCTTGGTTGGAAAATGCCCGATTGAAGTGCACAATTCTGCCTTAGCTCTCCTCAATTGGGGGGGGAGGGGGGCTGGAGGAGGGGGCAGCCTCCGTAGCACCAGCTCACAGCTTGAGCTGACACCAAATCCCTGGCCATGGATGTGTCGGGGAGAAGCCACGAAGAGGAGAATGGGAGGAGCTGCTTGCAGATGCTGCGTAGACTGTTACGATCAAGGACAACTGGGCATTTTCCCAGCGAGTACCCATGTCCAGAGCACGGATTCTGGAGCAGACTAATGGGGCTCACATTCGCTTCTATCACCTATTACCTGTGCAACCTTGGACAAATGACTCCAGCCCTCTGCTGCTCAGGTACCTCAGCTGGGGAAATGGGACAATATAGTATCTCCTTCATGGGACTGAAAAAGAAAACCAATATAGGATGCTGCTGCTGCTTACACCAGCAAGGACATCACAGCGATGAGTAGAGGCAGGAGACAGACAGAGTTCCTACTCCTGCCACCACCCCCCACCCCCAAAGCATGTCCTCGCCTGGTGCCACAAAGCTCCATGACGACACCACCTGCCAGCTGTAGCTAGCTCCCTGTCGACGCCGTTCTCCTATCCAGTCCTCACAGTCACGCATTTCACAGACGTGGAAACAGCCTCAGAGACCAAGTGCCCAGTCCCATTCCACCACGGGGTCCAGCCAGGAACGCAATGCCGGAAGCCAGTTCCAGCATGTCGTAATGGCAAGAGTTTAATTGAAAGGTTGATGGAACTTGGGGACTCAACAAGGGCTGAGTCACATATGTTATCGCCTGTTTCGAATGGCTAAAGGCATTTCCCCAAGCCTGAAAAGGATGCATTAAATTGATTGTTTTCTGCCTGACAGCTCAAGGCATCTTGATCTGCAAGTTATCGCCTCCTACTGGCCAAACAGCTGAATAGGCGTAAGCTATTCCCCATTCTGACAATGGATTCTGTAGGAAACACTACCCTTTGAAGTGTATATCTATCTCGCCTTAGGATAATTTGTGTTAATAAAAAGCAAGGGGTCCAGAGACGAGGAGAACTTGGTCTTCAGCCAAGCTCCTCTACTCCCCCAAATGCCTTTCAAAATTATGTTTCATCTCTGAACTTTTATTTAACTTATGCACAGCCCCATTCTCCAGGTTTCCTGAACCCTTCTAGATGCTGGATCAAGACCCACTGGCACTAAACGGTGCCCAACGTCTGGCAATGCAACCCAGGTCTGTGACTCCAAAGCCAATGAGCTTAATTCTGCTGCCAAAATGCACCCAGTTCCCCAGAGGAAGCAGCAAACACCAGGCATGCACTTTGCCTTTGCAAAACTGCCAGCGGGACAAGAAGGAGTATCTGCCTTCTCCTTCGAGTTAATCTCACCACAGACGTCCCTGCTGTCTTCCCCGTCCTGGGGGAAGTTCCTCACAGTAACTCTGCTCTCACTGGCTCTTCCACTCAGTACTGGTCTGGCCCTTGTCATCCTGGCTACTAGTCCTTATAAGGGACTACAGGACCCATAAGGGCTGCAACAGTTAACATCTCTTTTTTTTTAATCCTCACCCGAGGATATTTTTCTATTGATTTTTAGAGAGAGTGGAAGAGCGAGGAAAAGACAGAGAGAAATATCAATGTGAGAAACACACCGATCGGTTGCCCCCTGCCCACACCCTGACCAGGGCACGGGCCAGGGAGGAGCCTACAACCTCGGTACGTGCCCTTGACCAGAACTGAACCCGGAACCCTTCGCTCTGCAAGCCGATGATGCTCTATGCACAGAGCCAAATCAGCTAGGGCTGCATCTATTGTCTCATCGACAGAAAACAAATGGCTACTTATCAAGTTCCCCGCCAGAGAGGACGTGGCCATAAAAATCTCATACGGCCCACATGCCTCCCCAAGTGTCCCTTGGCCCCTTCCGGCTTCCCCAGGACATCACTGGACCTGCTCCGAGGGCCATAAAGAGCAAGAAACCAACCAAGCATCCCCTGTGGCCCATCTCCCGCCGTTTCTCCTGTGGATACCTTGGCCTGGGGGGTGGGGAAAGTAACTTCCCTTTACGTTCTCACAGGACTTTGTCACAGGGGCCCTCGGATCATCCCCTGAAGGCAAGAGGAAGGTGGTCTGGTGGCCCTTCCTTCCCGTCTACTGTTCTTACCTGTGCGGTGAAGAAGGCGGGGGTGAGGGATCCTGAGGGCAGGGCCGGGCTGTTAAGGGCGATGGAGCCGATGTCGGTGCCGGAGAGCACCAGCGGAGGCGCAGAGATCTCCAAGCCTTTGGGCTTTTTGGCTTTCGGGGGGAGAGACGGAGACCTGGTCTTGGAGCCCGACGACAGGTTCAAGGGCTCCAGGGAATCCGAGTCATGGCAGGCGGCCTCCAGGAAGAGGCTTCTGTGTTCTGCGGGGAGGGGCGAGTTGGGGGACAGGGACGGGGACCGGGAGGAGGAGGGCGAGGCGGAGGAGATGCTGGCGGCGGCGTTTGGCAGCATTAAGGAGGAGATCTTGGCCGAGACGGACGAGGCCAGGAAGGCCTCCGACGTGGAGGGCAGGGACACCACGGGCCGGCTGGTGTGCTTGTCGGTTTTGTTGGTGACAAACCTGATGACAGTCCTGACCTCCTCCACGGGGGGCCCGTCCTCCGGCGGCTCCTCCAGCTTCTCCGTCTTGATGGCCTTGAAGGGCTCGGGCGGGTTCTGCAGGGAGTTGATGGTGAAGGACGAGTACAGGCCCGAGTGGAGGTACTCGTTGCGGCTGGTGCTCTTGAGGGCGGCCAGGCCATGGCGGTGCGCCTCGCGGCCCTCGGGCGGCGCCTTGCAGTCCCGGTCCTGCAGCAGCAGGCTCTCCCGGCTGATCTCCACGGCGTGGGGGTCCATCTTCAGGATCTCCGGGAAGGAGACAAACTTGTACACAAACTTCTGCCCGATCACCTTCTTGATGATGTTCTGCGGATCACACAAAAGGAGACATCGGGAAGGTCAGTGCCCCGGCAGGATGGAGGAAGAGCTTCCTCAGAATGGGGCTGGGCTGGCCCGAGCCGTGTTGGCTCAGTGGACTGAGCATTGGCCTGTGGACGGTGGGGTCCTGGGTTTGATTCCCGACAAGGGCACATGCCCAAGTTGTGGGCTCGATCCCCAGTGGGGGACGGGGGTTGGAGGGGGGGGGGGAGCGTGCAGGAGGCAGCCAATCAATGAATCTCTCTCTCTCATTGATATTTCTATCTCTCTCTCTCTCCCTCTCCCTTCTTCTCTGAAATCTATAAAAATATATTTTTTTAAAAAGAAAGAAAGAATGGGATTGTGCTGAATACCCCGATTCCCACAGGCTGGCTACGGTGTCCTGCAGAGAGGACAGACATCGGAGGCAGAATCAGGTTTACATTCAGGTTTGGCCAGTTACTAAAGGTGTGATCTTTGTAGGCAAACTGATTGTGTTTCCTCCGCCTCGATGCAGCCACAGCTGCCACTAGTTAAGCACTTACTCTGCAGCTGGCACTGCTCCTGCATTATCTCATATAGTTTTCACAGCACTCCTAAGAGGAGGGTATTATTAAACTCCGTTTTAAAACTTAGGAAAGTAAGCTCAGAGCGCTTAAGTAACCCGCACAGCCACGTGGCAGGTACGCGGTAGAGACAGCATTTCCTTCTCCGTAATCCAGTATTGTCTTACCTCCCTCTGGGACGGGTGAGAATTCAATGAAATAATAATGGGAAAGCATTCTGGAAGGCATTATGGAAACGTAAGTTATTATCACCAAACCCCACAATGTTTTTCTTAAATCATGCAGCAGTTTCTCCCTTTTTATTTATTTATTTATTTTTTTAAAATATATTTTTATTGATTTTTTTACAGAGAGGAAGAGAGAGGGATAGAGAGTTAGAAACATCGATGAGAGAGAATCATCGATCAGCTGCCTCTTGCACAACCCCAACTAGGGATGTGCCTGCAACCAAGGCACGTGCCCTTGACCGGATTCAAAACTGGGACCCTTCAGTCCGCAGGCCGACGCTCTATCCACTGAGCCAAACCGGTTTCAGCAAGTCTGTACCCTTTGACCAACCACTTCCCCAGTGCCCCCCAGTCCCCAGCCTCTGGAAACCATCAATTTATTCTGTTTCTGTGAGTTTGGGTTTTTCAGATTCCACATACAGTAAACATTATGCAGTATCTGTCCTTCTCTCAGTTCCCTTAGCACAGCAGTCAGCAAACTCATTAGTCAACAGAGCCACATATCAACAGTGCAACCATTAAAATTTCTTTTGAGACCAGAAAACCTAGTACTTCGCATGGGCCACGACCTTTCAGTCGCACTGTGTGTGGCATTTTGTGGAAGGGCTCTGTCCTGGCCCCGCTTTTTGTGTAAGGCCTTCCTGTGCTCAGACTTCTTATCCCAGCTCCCATGTCCACCAATGCTCCACTCCCCCAGGGCTGACCCGTCCCAGGAGGCGCTGGACCAGTCGCAGGTCCCCTCCAGTACCGCTACAGCCCCCCCACCCCACCCCTAATCTTCCACCTTTGCGGGCTCCCAGGAACGGAAGGACTCCTGTCCTCTGCTTTTGCATCTTTCCTATCTTGTCCTCTAAGCTGAGAATGGCAGCAGCTCACTAGGCGGGCAGGAAAGGTCACGCAGAAAATGATTCTGAGCCAACAGCCCAGCCCTTCCTAACCCGGCACACCCTGCAGGGACAGAGGGGTGGACCTCTCCGCAAGTACCTGCTGGATCCTGTCCCAGGAGCTGCCACTGCCTGAGTCGGTGCTCGGGTTCAAACGCCACCCCTGTCTCTTAGCAGCCACGTGCCTGTTTCCTCATCTACAAAATGGGTCCTGATCTGTGGCCTGCCTCGTGGGAGGTAATTCTTAGGCAGCAGAAGGCCTAAGACAGCCACGCATGATAAGCCCACAATATTATTTCTATTCCCTCGTGTAAATATAAACAAAACAAAGCCACCGGCTATCAGCTCCAGTGACAAATGACAGCTCAAAACCCAGCCTCCCGGAAGGCTGTGCACGCTCCTGCCGCTTTATCCAGTTCCGGGCGATGAGAGGGGCCTGTGGCAGGCACGGTCACATCTGGTTTACAGATCTCAACCAAGCCGGGGAGACATGTTTTACTTATTGGGGTTCAGACAAGAAATAGACGCAAGGCTTACAGTAGGTCATGCCTGGCGTGGCCAGCGCCTGACATCCACTGCGGAGAAAACCTCACACATTCCGATCCGTCCCCGGGGCGGGGGGCGGGGGGCGGGGGGGCGCGGATGTGAGCCACCGCGGGATCCACGCGCCCCCGCGTCCCACTCCACCGTGTGCGGACACTCACCGGGCACCGGCTGGCCTCCACATTCCCGAGCTCTCGGGGCAGGAAACGGAGCACCCCAGCTCCGCCGTGTGGGCTCAGCCTCTGGGGGAGTGCCATGCGGGCTGCGGCCCTGAGTGCCCGCCACAGAGATGCTGGGGTGGGGAAGTGGGGTGGATTTATTTTGGGGCCATTCATCTCGCTGGGGTGGATACCCTACGTGAAAGGAACCAGTAGCCAGGAAGGGCAAAGCAAATTTATGGGGGGAGGGAGGGCTGGACGTACTGTACACACACATATTGCAACATGGGCACTATGACCCCATTTTAAAGATGAAGAAGTTGAGGCTCTTGGTTGGAAGTGAGGTTATACCCACTTCTCCACCCCACAGAGCTGGGTCAAGTACTGGGAGGGCCCTCCAATGGAATACCATGCAGCTGTGTTAGAGGATAATCCATTGTTAACATTTGCCCATGTCTTTAAATATACATGGGGGGGGGGGGGGGGAGGGGGGAAGCACACATGGGATCTTCTATTATTTTAATTAAGTAAATACACAGGGTGGGGCAAAAACAAGTTTACTATTGTGAGTACATAAAACACAGAGGTTATTCTTTTTTGTAATGTTTTAAAAATAATTCTTTATTGTTGCAAGTATTACATACATCCCTTCTTACCCCCATCTATGTATGGCCTCTTCCACAGAGTTTATGCTTGTATTACTGTTTGATTACTGTAGTTTCCACGTGAACTGTAAACCTACTTTTGCCCTACCGTGTTTATTAAATAAAAGGAGAAAGAAAATTTTATCTCAAAAGATGTATAATAAAATTTAATGGTGGTAGGTTTACCATTGACTTGTAATTTTTTTTTCTTATCTGCATTTTCACATTTTTAAATACATGTTTAATATATGAATTTTACTTATCAAATTCAGACTATATATTTTCATTTCTTGGCAATGTCAGCTTCATTTAAAAAAATTTTTATTTGATTTTGAGAGAGAGGAAGGAGGGAGAGATGAAAACATCAACAAGAGAGGAACTTCATCCACCGGCTGCCTCCTGCACGGCTCCTACCGGGGATCGCAACCTGGGCATATGCCCTGACCGGGAATCGAACCAGCGACCTCTTGGTGCATGGGTCAATGCTCAATGGCTGAGCCACACCAGCCGGGCATGACTTTTTTTTTTTTTTTTTAAGAAAAAGCATCAGTCACTGGTGGAGCTGAAGTCTGAACCCAATCCTCTCCAGAGCCAAAGCCGAAGCCCTCCTGTTCCACCATCACACCCTCCCGGAAAGCAGCTGCTGTTGGCTCAGAGGCTGCTGCTCAATCCAGCCCGCCAGAACTCGCAGGCCCTGCGTGCCAGAGTGCCCGCGGGGTAGCCCAGGTGCCTGGGAAAGCAGCTTTGGGTATAGGAAGCGGAAGCATGGTCCTTGTCAGACGGGTATTTCTAGCTCCTGGGAAGGAAGGCCAGCCTTCCCCGAGGCTGTTCTTTCACCAGGAATGGAACTGCCTCTGCCCACCCACAGGCAGAGCAGGTGCCTGCTTCGATGGGATGCCTTGCACGAGTTGCCAGGAACCTGGTGGTCCCACGCCAGCAGACTGAACATCGCAAGCCCACCTCTGAGTGGGTGACATCCAAGAGGCAAGGATGACAAAACAACCGGAAGCTAATGTACACACCACACACACACACACACACACACACACACACAGCCTGGTGAAGGCCCCAGGAGCGGCAGAGGAGCTCACAGGAGCTCAGGGGGGCATTGATCGGCTCCTCTGAGCACCCACGGGCCTAGGAGCTGCTCGCACAAGGGCACAGGCCCACATATGACGTGGGCTGACCTGGGTTCAAATCCCAGCTTCTCTCCTCACCATGACCATGGGAAGGGCATAGAACGTCTGCAGGCCTCCGTTTGCTCACTTCCATAAGCAAAATAAAGATGCCTCACCGGGTAGTGTTTTCTAAAAGAACAACTTGCTCTTAGTAGTGGTATAATTATTTCTATTCTCCTATGTCAGTGCCCAGTTCACGTAGGTCCTCAAAACGTGACCCAGTGGAATTCCCCTCAGCAAGCGATGATGTCACTGCAGAGCACCCTCACTGTTCACACTGCCTTTCCACTGCATGTGGCTTTCAAGGCGTCTAAATTCCTTCCCCGGAGCCTGACTTAACCGTTTATCGAAGGTTACGCCCCTTCTCCTGTAAGCCCTCACCACCCGGATGCCCGCTCTCCAGCGGGGGGACCCCGGGCTCCCAGCTGTGTCCCCAAACTGGTAGGTGAACTCAGGCTGCCAGCTTCCCAGCCAACGCCCTGTCTCCAGCGCCTCCTCCGGGCCCCCTCCCAGACCGCGGGCTGACTCACCCTTTCCCGACACAAACCCCGACTGTCCTCCCTCCAAAGTCAGAACAAGTACTCACTGTAGGAGTCAGGCTCCGGGCTCCTCCCCTTTCACAGGCCAACGTCCTCTCCACAAGCACGGAGGATGCTTCCCTGTGGAAGGCTCCTTGCGAGGCTCAGAGGAACAGGAGAGGAAGTGAATCCGGCCTCTGCCCCCCTCACCCCACCCTTCCACCCCCGGGCCTCCAGTGGGTGCTGGCCCGGGTGGTGGCAGCCCCTGCCTCCTGCACCCCCAGCCTCCTG